GAGTGGGGGCAGAATGGACATTGAGAGAGAGTTGAGAGTGAGACAGAATGGACATTCCAGTTGTGGAGAACGGGGCTGCACACAGCAAACCTGACAGGGGCCTGTTATTACTATTTCATGAAACTGGTTTGAAAACTGTAAAGCTCGCACAGCCCTGGGCTGTTGTTTTGTTTTTGTTCTTGTGGTTGTTTAGAGACAGAGTCTCCCTTTGGTGCCCAGGCTGGAGTGCAGTAGCATGATCATATAATGTGCACATCATAGCTTACTGCAGCCTTGAGCTTCTGGGCTCAAGTGATCCTCATGCCTTGGCCTCTCAACTATAGGTATGAGCCATTGCACCCAGCTAATTAAAAAGATGTTAGAGACAGGATCTCACTATATTGCCCTGGCTGGTCTCAAACTCTTGGCCTCAAGTGATCCTCCCACTGTGGCCTTCCGAAGTGCTGGGATTAAAGGCATGGACCATCATGGCCTATTATTATTGTTGTATGCAAAGGGCACCAGGGTGGAGCAGGTACAAGCCACTCACATCAAGCACGGACTGAGGCAGTGGATTGGCAGGGGGCCCAGGGGGCTGGGATGGGTTCTAGTGATGTCAAGGAAGGTCAGAATATGGCCATTGTACAAACCCAGAGCCTAGGACAACTCTGATCACCTGAGTGTGGTTAAAGTAATAGCAATGATGATGGTGGTGACGATGGTGACAGTGATGATGCTGAGGGCGTGGTGTGGCTTTAGGGTCAGGCAGGTGGCCGAGTCCACCACTTAGATCACCTCAGTGGCAAGAGAAACACAAAGTTGGTGGGGCCTGTTCAGCACTCAGGAGACCCCGACAAGGCCTTGGCTGCATCCTGGGGGTCCTGCACAGGGCCTCCCAGTGGTCACTGGCTTGTGCACACACTTCTTGTTAGCCCTTTCCTGGTCTCATTTTCCCACCCATTCTCCTGGGACATCTCCCAAATAAACTATTTGGCCCTAAATTCTTGATTCAGGGTGAATTCTGGAGGCCCTGAGGTGATGGTGAGTGCAACTCTTGTGTACAATAATTTCACAGTGATAAAATAACAGCCAGGTGTGAGGGCACATGCTACTATAGTCCCAGCTACTTGGTGGCTGAGGGATCCTTTGAGCCTCAGAGTTCAAGTGCAGCCTGGGCAACATAGCCAGACCCCATCTCTAAAACAAAACAAACAAAACAAAAAAGGACAGCAGCACTGTGCATGGCTCTTCCCTCCCAGGACTCCTGGGAGTCACCTCTGAGGTGGATGGTGACAGAAGCCACACAGTCAGGAGCTGTCCAGGTGGGAAGAGGGGGCCCCTCCTAAGGCAGAGTCTGGGAGGCCCAGTCAGCCATCTGTGGCTCAGCATCGAGGGTGAGCAGGTGCTGGTGCTGACCTTGCAATTCTTGGTCCCCAAGTCCATACAAATTGGCAAGAGACTATAAAAGGAATTTATACAGGCAAGGCTTTACTGGGGCTTTGCTGCAACAAAGGGGAGGCAGTACCAGTTAAGACACCAGACTGGTTCTCCAAACAAAGGGCTGGAGACTTTCTTTTTTTACACGTAGATCATGAATACATTTTTCAAAGGGCAGAGAGAGAGGAAGTTGAGAGCCAGCATGAAGCCACAGCATGAGAGTTTTGTTGGCAGCTGCCCATCCAGTGCTCATGCTTCTTCACACATCACATGTCTCATTAACATGTCTTCTCCACCCTTAGGTGTGACTTTTAGCTAAGATGAGGGAAACGGTAGACCAGAGGTCAACTCTGGGCTTCAACCTTGCAGCACCCCCTTTGCACTGGCTTAGTCGGGGTCAGTGGGCCTGCTCCCAGGACTGCCACCTTCCTTAGAGAGCAGAGCTGCCTGCTGTTGAAGGGGATGTCGGTCACTTAGAAGCTTTTCTTTTCTTTTTTTTTTTTGTAGTTTTTGGCCAGGGCCAGGTTTGAACCCGCCACCTCTGGTATGTGGGGCCAGCACCCTACTCCTTTGAGCCACAGGTGCCGCCCGAGGCTTTTCCTTAGTAAGTAGACTTAAGCTTTGGCTTTAGGGTCAGGCAGGTGGCCGAGTCCACCACTTAGATCACCTCAGTGGCAAGAGAAACACAAAGCTGCTGGGGCCTCCTCAGCACTCAGGAGACCCCGACAAGGCCTCGGCCTCATCCTGCTCAGCCGCTTATCTTTGCAGAACAGGGACTGAACCACACGGCAGCACCAGGAACCAGATGCTGAAACAGTTGCTTCTGCCTTTCTGATAACAGGTGTTTCTTTATTTTCTAAATGTGAAACTGAGAGTGGGGAACCCCTCTGTCACTAGGGGAGAAGACAGCTCTCTCTGTGTGCTGAACAGCTATGACCAAAAGACTTAAAAGGTCCTTTTTTTTTTGCAGCTTTTGGCTGGGGCTGGGTTTGAACTCACCACTTCCAGTGTATGGAGCCAGGGTCCTACTCCTTGAGCCACAGGCACCGCCCTTTAAAAGGTCCTCTTGGCCTGGCCCAGCTACTCATGTCTGTAACCTGTAATCCCAGCACTCTGAGTGGCTGAGGGAGGAGGAACACTTGAGCTCAGGAGTTCAAGACCAGCCTTATAAAGAGTAAGACCCTGTCCCTACAAAACAGAAAAACTAGCTAGGTATAGTGGTGGGCACCTGTAGTTCCAGCTACTCAGGAGGCTGAGGCAGGAGGATCTCTTGAGCCCAGGAGTCTGAGCTTGCTGTGAGCTAGGCTGCTGCTGTGGGACTCTAGCTTGGGGGCAACAGAGTGAGACTGTCTCAAAAAAAAAAAAAATCCCCTAATTGCAGTTGGTTTAGGGAGAGGTTGTGCCTATAATTTATGCTCTGATCACAGCTCTACAATTTTACAAGTTTTTCCTCTCTACTGCAAAGCAGGCTCCTAACTGTTCCACTCTGACATCTTGATCACTTCTGCCACCTTTGAGAAAAGCTGGGATTCTCACCTTAATTATAATAGGACAGTTTATTACAGCTGGAGATCCAAGAGTAAGGGTTGCAAGGCAGAGCTGTGCAAGTTAAGGTTGAGGGGGTGCTGAGGTCTGTCTGCACCCATTTGTCAAGGCTCCTTAAGGGTTAACTGTGCCCTGCTGGAGGTTCTGTTGTCCCAGGACTTTTCAAACTTTCTTGTCCAAAACCCACAATGAGAAATAACACTGTTTTAAAACGTTCTATTTTCGGGCGGTACCTGTGGCTCGGTGGATAGGGCACCGGCCCTATATACCGAAGGAGGTGGGTTCAAACCCGGCCCCGGCTGAACTGCAACAAAAAAATAGCTGGGTGTTGCGGCAGGTGCCTGTAGTCCCAGCTACTCGGGAGGCTGAGGTGAGAGGATTGCCTGAGCCCACAAATTTGAGGGTACTGTGAGGTATGACACCACAGCACTCTACCCAGGGTGACAGAGACTCTCAAAACAAAACAATAAAAAAGGAAATTCATTTTGCATGGCCCAGAGCACACATACCAAAACTAAACTTCAACAAAGTATTGCCTTAAAAATGTGGGTCTTGGCGGTGCCCGTAGCTCAGTGGGTAGGGCTCTGGTCACATACACAGAGGCAGGTGGGTTCAAACCCGGCCTGGGGCAGCTAAAACGACAACTACAACAACAACAAACATAGCTAGGTGTTGCAGTGGGTGCCTGTAGTCCCAGAGGCTGAGATGAGATAATTGCTTAAGTCCAAGAATTTGAGGTTGCTGTGAGGTGTGATGCCACAGCACTCTACCCAGGGGAACAGTTTTAGACTCTGCCTCAAAAAAAAAAAAAAAAAAAAAAAAGTGGGTCTTGACCCTCTACACTGATTACTTGACCCAGTGATAATCTGCAAAGCATAGATCCAGGTACTGCACTCTAAAATACAGATGGGAAAATCAGGCTTCTCCTCTCCAGCAACCTCCAACTTTCTCACTCAAGGTAATTTAGCAAGCACCAACTGCATACTGATGTTTCTGTTCTTTTTTCTTTTTCAATTGGGCACAATTCATGCTCTTTACAGAAAACTTGAAAGAAAAATGGAAAAGCAGGAGCCCTCCTCTCAGCCCTGTAGATCTGGCCTCATCTGGAAAGAGGGGCTCCAGTATCAGGGTCATAGGTTTTCCAGAGAACCTATATTTCAGATAATAAAAGCTTTCTTAGAACCGACACTTTAAAAAAATCTCACCCATTTGAAGGCAGTTTCTTTCATCTTCCTTTCCTTTATAATTGAGATATGTCACATATGGTAAAAGTTTACCCTTACACTGTGCAGGCCTGCCAGGTGGCTGACACCTGTAATCCCAGCACTTTGGGAGCTTGAGGCCGGAGGATTGCTTAAGGCCAGAGGTTCGAAACCAACCTGAGCAACACAGCCAGATTCTATCTCTACAAAAATATTAGAAATATTAGCCAGGCATGGTGGCATATCTCAGCTACTGGGGAAGCTGAGGCAGGTGGATGCTTGAGCTCAGGAGGAGTTTGAGGCTGCTACCAGCCGTTCAGCCACTGCACTACAGGGGGCGACAGAGTGCGACCCTGTCTCTAAAAAATAAAAAATAACAATAAAGTGTGCCATCCAGTAATCCAGTGGTGTTGGCATTTTCACAAACTTGTGTGCGGACCCCACTCCTGGGCCGCAGCGCGTTCTCCCCCGAGGCGCATCCTGCTCCGCTGTGCGTTGACCTCCGTCACGCTGTAATTTCAATCGTAGCACCCAGGCAAGCTAACCGTTCCGCTCGGCCAGGCCTTTACTCATTTTGGGCCCCAAAGTCAGCGATCGGACTGCCACGCGCCGCCAAGAGTAGATCACACGAGCATTGGGTCGCGAGGAAGTAGGCGTACGGGTCGGGTAAACAACGCACTTGGGCGCGTGCGCGCACTACTGCGCATGCGCCAGGGCCAGTCCATTTCCTGCCCACCTCACCCCCGGCACCAGTGGTGCGGTCCGCGGTGGGGCGGGGCCAGGGCGCCGGCGCGAAAACCGGCGGGAAACGCGCGCTACATCCTTCCCGCCGCCGCCATGGAGCAGCGCCGGGTCACCGACTTCTTTGCGCACCGCCGCCTTGGGCCCCGCGCTGTGCCGCCGCGGGCCAAGTTGCCCTGTCGCACCCCGAGCCCCGCCGAGCATGCACCCCGCGCCCCGGGCTCAGCCCCAAGTGGCAGCCGCAAGCGCGCGCGCCCGCCCGCCGACCCCGGCCAACCCAAGGCCCCGCCGCCTGCGCGCAGGAGGCTGCGGCTGTCGGCCGACGCCGGAGAGGTGAGCAACACGGGGAAACTGAGGCTGGAGTGGTGAAGGGAGGCGTGGAGCTGGAGGAAATTCAGACCGGGGCGGGGCCGCGGGGAGGGCGGGGCCAGGCCCACGGCTCGTCCGCAAGAATGGGGAGGGCCAGCCCTGGCAGCGTCCCTCTCTGTTGACTTCAGCAAAGACCCTGAGAAATTAGTAACCTCAAGAACTTGGGCCCAGCCCTTGCATGTCCAGTTCTGTTCCGGCCAGCGGGTCCCCTTTCTGCAGAGCCAGGTGCACCCTGGGCTTGTCCTGTGCTCACCTTGGGGTCCTTCCCAGCAGACGTACAGCTTGGGCTCCCCAGCTGACCTGGATTCCTCAGCTGACCCCCGCCCTCGAGCCTGCTCTTCTCTGGGCACCAAGGTACAGAAAGTCACTGTCTCAGCAGATCAGCTGTCTTCCCCAGCAGCCTCGCAGGACAAGGTGAGGAGGCTGGACCAAGGGTATGTGTAACCTGCCATGGGTGAATGCCTGACCTTACAGCCCCCTGCGTCCCCAGGTCCCCCCCACGGACACCATCTCCGAGCTCCAGTCATGTCTACAGAGAGCTCGTGAGCTGGGGGCGCGGGTCCAGGCACTGAGAGCCAAGAAGGATGCTGAGAGCCTCTGCCCACCTGAGACTGAGCACCATGCAGAGCCACCATGGTGAGTCTGGGAGGGTGGCCATGTGGCGTGAGTGAGCAGTGGCTGGGCTGCACCTTCCAGGGAGGTAATTGGTGCAGCCAACTGGGTGGGTAGCCCAGAGCCCAGCCTGCTGCCCTCTTGCCCTGTCCCCAGTACCCACCTTGAGGGGTCATTAACTGCCGCCCCATGGGCCCTGGAGAACCTCAAGTGCTGCCAACAGCTTGTGGTCATCAGGCATTTGCTGTGTGTCTTCAGAGGCAGAGGTGTGGGGTCTGGGGCTTCTCTCAAGGCTGGCTCTCTCCCTGACAGTGGTGAGAAGCTGCCTGCCTACCAGCGCTTCCACGCCCTTGCACAGCCCAGTCCTCCGGGGCTGGTGCTGCCCTACAAGTACCAGGTGTTGGCTGAGATGTTCCGCAGCATGGACACCATAGTGGGCATGCTCTTCAACCGCGCAGAGACCGTGACATTTGCCAAGGTCAAGCAGGGTGTCCAGGACATGATACGCAAGTGAGTGGCCTGCAGCCAGGTGGGGGCTGTGGGGTTTTGCTGTTGGCGCTGCTTTCTCCTGATCTGCTGCCACCTCCCACAGGCGCTTTGAGGAGCACAATGTCGGCCAGATCAAAACTGTGTATCCTGCTTCTTACTGCTTCCGCCAGGAGCGCAACATCCCCACCTTCAAAGATGGTGTCAGGAGATCTGATTATCAGCTCACCATTGAGCCACTGCTGGATCAGGGTGAGTGTGCTGGGTCCAGGGCCTTGGTGTCTCCAGCTGTGACCATGCACCCTTTTGAGGATGGGTGTGAGGTGCTGGGCATCAGGACTGTGGTCAGGGGCCAGGTGACCTGGCTAGGATTCACACCTGTACTCTCCCTGCAGAGACCAGCAGTGCAGTCCCACAGCTCACGGCCTCCCACCTCCTGCAACGGCGGCAGGTCTTTGGCCAGAAGCTGTTGGAGCGAGCCAGGGAGCACCACAAAGTGAGTGGCTACAGCAGTCAAAGGCCAGTGATGCGCCTGGTCCCTGCTGCAGAGGCAGTGGTACTGTGGGCATTTGTGTCCGCCCAGCCCGAGTACCCTATCTGTGCTCCCAGCATCCCTGCCACAGACTGCCCTTTTCAGAGGCCCAGGGTGCTACCCCTGGTCAGTGGCAGAGTTCTGAGTTGTCCTCTTGGTAGGGAGGGCACGCTGTTGCTGACACCTGATTTCATGGTGGGCATGGACACATACTGGGTCTGCCCTGTGCTGAGGAGCTAGTGAGCTCAGGGCTGTAGTCTCAGGCTCGAGGGGGTCATGGTGGCCCTGTGAGGCCTTGTGCTTTCTCCTGCCAGTCAAGCATCTGGGCATAGAGAGGTTACCTGACATGCTTGGGGCTGCCCAGACAGCCCTCAGATGTGCCAGGGTCACCCAGCAGGACCCCTGCTCACCTCATTCTCCTGCAGGCCTTCCTGGCCTCCCTGAGCCCCCCCATGGAGGTGCCCGATGACCAGCTGACACGCTGGCACCCACGCTTCAATGTGGATGAGGTACCTGACATCGAGCCTGCCGAGTTGCCCCAACCACCGACTCTGGAGAAGCTCAGCACTGCTCAGGAGGTGCTGGCCCGGGCCCGCAGCCTGATGTCACCCAGGGTGAGGCTGACTGGAGTTTTTTGGGGTGGGTGGGGCCTGCTGGACAACATAAGGTGGATGTAACATGTGAAGCCTCCGTGGGGGCACCTGACACCTCATTAGGCTTCATGCCCAGCTGACGGTCTAGAGATAGCAGATTGTGCTCTACACAGTTGCTCATCCCCACACAGGGGGCGGCTCCTGCACAGATAACACTGTGGGCAGGGCCCCAGGTTGCCACTCAGCCTTCCTCCAGATGTGGTGACTGAGTGACTGAACTCGGCTTGGAGAGATGGGGGTTGGGGGAGTGCAGGGCTCTGGGGTAGAGGGCAAGGAGCTTCCTCTGGCAGGGCTGGGACACCGCCTCTACAGACTTCTCCTCTAACTTGTCCTACCCACAGATGGAGAAGGCCTTGAGTCAACTGGCCCTGCGCTCAGCTGAGCCCAGCAGCTCAGCCTTGCTGGCCAGCCCACCGGCCACTTCCCCTACCACCCCAACTGGTGCCCTGAAGGGTGTGTCCCAGGACCTGCTGGAGCGGGTGAGTCAGTGATGGGCAGTTGGGTGCTGGGGTGACCTACCATCCACTGACTGACCTTCTCCCACCCCAGGTCCGGGCCAAGGAGGCACAGAAACAGTTGGCACAGATGACGCGGTGCCCAGAGCAGGAGCTGCGGCTGCAGCGGTTGGAGCGGCTGCCTGAGCTGGCCCGTGTGCTGCGCAGTGTCTTTGTGTCTGAGCGCAAACCAGCACTCACCATGGCAGTGGTCTGTGCCCGGATGGTGGGCAGCTACCGCACCTCTATGAGCCCTGGTAGGTGGGGTAGGGCACAGGGCCACCCACTATGGTCCTGCTATGTGGCTGTGATCCCTCCCCATGTTCCTGACTGGGGTGTCCATCAACAGTTTGTTCACCAGATGTGCACACTGAACACTTTGGTCACCCAGCCTGGCCTCCACTCCTACAGCCCTTCACACCTGGTCTATTATCTGTATTCCTGGGCCAGAACAAAACCTCTCCCCCATGGCTCCAGGCCCCATGTGAGAGGTCCACTTGTTTTTGGGTCTCTGGCCACCAGGACAGAGCTGCTGGTCCTGCAGCTGCAGGGGGCATCCTTCTGTGGGGCTTCGCAGCAGGATCCCTGCCTGGCTTCTGCTACCACCGTTCACTCTAGCTCTCAAGGGCCCAGACAGGGACCCCAGACAGACCTCAGCTTAGAACCCTCAGCCCTGAGACTTATGGACAGGGTGTGACACCCCACTGTGAGGCATAGAGTGCACCCCTATGGAGTTGCACGGCTGGGTCACACCAGTGCCAACTGCACAGAGCCTCACCTTTCTTTCTATAGGTGAGATGGAGAAGCACCTGCTGCTTCTGTCCGAGCTGTTGCCCGACTGGCTCAGCTTCCACCATATCCGCACTGACACCTACATCAAGCTGGACAAAGCTGCAGACCTGGCTAGCATCACCATGCGCCTAGCTGTCCTCACCCGTGCTGAGGAGAAGCTATGAGCCCAGTGGCTGCTGCAGACCAACACAGGCTCTGGACATGCTGGTCAGAGCCCACTTGTGCCTTTTTATTCCCTTTATAAACTCAGCTCTTCTTACATCCCCGAGGATCAGGCTGGACATGGGTTGCGGGCCCAAGTGTCCTGATGGTAGGTGGGTCTGTGTCCTTGGTCTCATGTATGGTGTGTTTGTATTAAACTGGTTTCTGTAGGTGACTTTCTTGCTGAGCAGCACCTGTCAGGTTGTCAGGGGAATGGGGCTGGGATGTGTGCAGGGTCAGGGGAGCTTAGTTGGCAGAAGGCCATCCAGAGACATGTTCCTGAGTCTTGGGACCTGTGAACATGTGACCTCACGATAAGGAGGGACTGTGATCACATCAGGGCTTTGGAGCTGGGCTGAGTGCTGTCACAGGGTCATTGCTGGACACCAGGAACAGAATCTGACTGGGGTATGCCACCTTGCCAGGGAAGGTAGGTGGCCCCTGGAGGGCCATGCTTTGGAGCCTCCAGAAGTACTCTCCTTGCCAACACCTGGATTACAGTACTTTGCCCTCTGCAACTTTTTTTTTTTTTTTTTTTTTTGAGACAGAGCCTCAAGCTGTCTCCCTGGGTAGAGTGCCGTGGCATTACAGCTCACAGCAACCTCCAACTCCTGGGCTCAAGCGAGTGAGTCTCCTGCCTCAGCCTCCCAAGTAGCTGGGACCACAGGCGCCCACCACAACGCCCGGCTATTTTTTGGTTGCAGCTGTCGTTGTTTGGGTCTGGGCTGGGGATTTGAACCCACCACCTTAGGTGTACATGGCTGGCGCCTTAGCCGGTTGAGCTATAGGCACTGAGCCCCCTCTGCAACTCTTAATGATGAAGTTGCACTTTAGGCACCTGGGTAGCACCCGAGAACAGGTTCTCAACCACTCCCACACTGCCTTGCTCGTGAGTCAGTACCTGCCAGGCAGCACCAAGCAGCCCCTACACCATCTTCTGGACCACCTCACTGCACAGAAAGGCAGGCCCAGGCACTGGCCTGCAGGAGCCTGGCTCACAGGATGACAGGAGACAGTGTTTGCAGCAGAGATATTTACTCTTGTTCTTTTGTTGGGTTTGTAACCAGACCCAGTTAGCCAATGAGGTGCTGCCCCAGGCTACCTTGCCAGGGGAGGCAGGTGGTCCCTGGAAGCTAGGAGACAAGGAAGGTCGTGCCCTGGAGCCTCCAGAACAGTGGTTCTCAACCTGTGGGTCCAACCCCTTTGTAACAATGAAAATACATCGTGGCATTAGGAAGGTTGAGAACCACTGCTCCAGAAGGACCTATCAGGCCAACACCTGGACTCTAGTACTTTGCTCTCTGCAACTCTTAAGATGATGAAGTTGCACTTTAGCCACGAGGGTAGCACCTGAACACAGGCTCTCAATCACACCCATATAGCCATGCTCTAAGTTTTGGCACTTACAGAAGGGTCCCAGGCCAAAGGTATGACTAAACTTTGGATGGGTAGCCAGTGGCCTCTGGCAGAAAGGTCACTTCAGTTGCCCCAGGCTGACACTTTCCTCTCCTAGCTGAAGAAGGGCTGAGTGGTCACATGGTCACTCATACTGTAGGAGGGAGAAGAAGGGCACTGTCCCTAGCTTCTCCCTGCCTCGCAGCGAAGTCAGCTCCACCAGGGTCACGCACTCTACCACCTCCGCCTGCAGCCGGTCCAGCAACTCGCAGGCTGCCCGCATGGTCCCTGGAGAAGGGGAAGGGAGAGGCCTGGCTCTAGTCTGGGCTGCAGGGACCCCAGTGCTCCAGGCCATCCCCTGGGGGCTATGAAGTACTCAGACCCCACCCCATGTGTGGGGAGGCACCCTTCCACTCCCATGAGCATCCCAGGGCCAGGCACCCTTGGACTCTGGGCTGTCTGCCTGAGAAGGAGCCTCACCGCCGGTGGCCAGCAGATCGTCCACAACGATCACCTTCTGCCCTGGCTCCAGGGCATCAGTTTGGATTTCCAGTTCAGCCTACAGAGACAGGAAACATGAGTGTGGTCCTCAAGCCTCCAGGAGAAATCAGCCTTGTCTACCATTTGGGTCCTGGTGTTAACCCCCCCCCCTTGCAGCTTCCTGTTATGTAAGCCTGCATGGGTGTCTAACCCACTCTGAGCTGTGGAACGGCGACCTGGCCCCCACCTTTCCTCTGGCTACCCGGGCCCCTCACCGTTCCGTACTCCAGCGAGCAAGAGGTCCACACTGTGGGGCCTGGCAGCTTCCCCCGCTTTCGAATGAGCACAAAACCCACGCCCAGCTCTTGGGCCAGGGAGGGTCCAAACAGGAAGCCTCGGGAGTCCAAGCCTGTGGATGAGAGCGGGCAGCTGGTGGTGGCCAGCGGAGCAGCTGCGTAGGAGTACCCGCAGCCCAGGCTGGCTGGTGACCAGTGGCCACCACAGTGACAAGGGGCACCTGGCCCGCAGGCTCCCGCTGAGAGGCTGAGGACGCCTGCTCCCGCGGGAGCGGCTGGGGTGGAGTAGCCCAGGCCAGATTTCATAAATTTCTCAGCCTCATAGCCTCTGGAAAGTCACCGGACCTCTGCTGGACACAAGCCAGCTCAGTCCCGTCTGGGTTCCGGCGGGCACCCAGCCGTCTCAGCCCCGCCCGTCTCACCACTCGCCTGCGACGAAGTCCACGCGGCCGCCGTGCGCGTCCCGCAGGTGCCGCGTCAGAAGGCTGATCGAGGCGCGGAAGGCGGCAGGGTCCTTCAGCAGCGGCGAGATGTCCCTGCTCCGGGACAGGCCTGGTGAGCCCGTGCCGCGCCCCGGGGGGCAGGGGCTCGGTCGGGCTCGCGCTCTCACCGGAACAGCACGCCTGGGGAGGGGAAGTCGGGGAAGCTGCGGATCCGCCGCGCCACCAGCTGCAGCTCGGGTTCCGCCATGCCGCGCGCGACGCTCGTTTGACCCCAGCGCCCGGGCAGGCGCGGGAAGGGGTAGGGAGGGCGGGGCGGGTGCGGGAAGGGGCGGGGCGGATGGGGCGGGGTCTGGCGCCTGGGCGGCGGAGCGAGTCGTCTCTCCGGAAATCTGCGCACTATTTTCGTTTAATTATCGATGCCCCCGATTCTTTTTTTTTTTTTTTGAGACAGTCTCACTTTGTCGCCCTCTGTAGTGCGTCACAGCTCCATTGCCTCAGCTTCCCAAGTAGCTGGAACTACAGACGCCCGCCACAACCCCTGGCTATTTTTTGTTGTTGCAGTTGTCATTGATCCCAGGCCAGGGCCGGACCGAACCCGCCAGCCCGGGTGTATGTGGCCGGCACCCTAACCACTGAGCTATGGGAGCCGAGCCGATGCACTCGATTCTAACCAGTGATCTGGCTCCTCGTACCGCTGGACTGACGTGTCCCCTCCCCAGGGACACTGTAACCCGCCAGAGGTGCGAATCACGCGCCCTTCCTCACTTTAGGCCTCCCGTGATGGCATCCCGCCCTGCTGAAATCCAAAGTCGCCCAGGGCTGACTGCAGCCCCTGGGTGACCATGGGCAGGCACCACTCTGCTCCAGGCTCCCCAGGGTGCCCACCTGGGGAGCAGCCCCTCTGTCCGCTCAGCCTTGGGCTGCAGCCCAGGGAGAATAGGGTTCCCTGGAGGCACAACTTCATTTTTTTGTTTTTTCCAAGTTTTTGGCCAGGCCCGGCTTGAACCCACCACTCCCTGTATATGGGGCTGGCACCCTACTCCTTGAGCCACAGCGCCACCCACAACTTCATTTTTTTAAGAAACCAAGACAACAGCAAAATGCCTCACACTCCTTTATTCTGAGGCTGTTTTTTCCGTTTCCCAGCCCTGCAGTTAAGCCTTGGCATGAGGTACCCTGGCAGGTAGTGCTGGGTCAGGGCTGGAAGAGCCAGGGGCTGAGCTCAGACTCTCATGAAAGGTGGAAATGGGCAACCTGCCTCCTCATGTCCCCATGGAGCAGCGACTGAAGTGACTGAAGTGGCCCCAACCTTGGGTACTGCAAACAGCTGGCCGGGCTCCAGTTGGATACCCTTCTCTGCCTCCGCAGCCTCCTGTCAGACCCTGCCTCATAACCTTCTGCATTAGGATATGGATCCCACCCTCCAGGCCCTGGTGTAGTGCTGGACTCTTGGCAAGTTCAGTGGAGGAGACCTGAGACTGCAGACCCCAAGCCTTGGGGGTGAAGGCTGGGCAGGGGCAGGGACACGGGCCCTTAGAACTCTGCCATCTTGGAGGCCCTTCCTACTCCTGGGTCCAGGGAGCTGTTAGTGGGGCCAGGAGCACTTCTCCGGGACAGACTCTGGTGGTGTCAGACATTTCCCCAACTTGTCACAGCCTGGGGGTGCCCAGTTCTGGGAAATGAAAATTTAGGAAAGGAACAGTTATTCCCTGTACTCTTGGGACTCTGTGGCAGTAAGCAATATTCAGATGCTTGTCCCTGCCCAGGCCAGAGCCCCCCTTAACTGGCCCAGTGAGGAGACCACATCTGTGTCCACCAGAGTGTGGGCACAGGGTCTTCTGCCTAAGGACAGGTGTGTAGGTAGACAGCAGGGCTGGAGGGCCCTGTAGGCCTCAGTGGCCCTGAGATGGGGATGTCCTCCTGTGAGTGCACAGACCAGCTGCTTAGGTGTCCCTTCTGTGGTGAGACTGGGCAGGCAGGCACCTGGCCTCTGCCCTGCCGTAAAAGATCCCCTACAGGGTGGGCCATAGCTGTGGCCTTGGACATGTCCATTTGCCCAGTGGTCCTCACTCCTTGGAGAACCCTCCTGACACTGAGATAGTGTTTTCCTGTGGCCACTGCATACCCCCAGTACTTTCTCCTTAAGGCACATTCACTGTCACATCCTCAAGACCAGCTGTGCAAGGCAGGCAGCAGCAGTAGGCACCCAGCAGCACCTACAGCTGTGATTTGGCCTCACCCTGCAGAGATGATGGCCCAAAGCAGGCTGCACTGGCTCCAGACCTGGGGCTGTAGTGCCCGATATCTCTGGGGTGGTTGAGCCCGTGAGGGCTTAGACACTGGCTCAGCTGTCTCAGCTGTGCTCTGCTGGCTCTGGAGCACCCAGGAGCAATACCGTGGATAAGTGCTATACCTGTATTTGTCATGCAGCAAGGGTCACACAGATATGACCCCTCCAAAGACGCGATCAAGGCCTGTCAATGTTAGGAGCCATGTCAATGGCTGGGAAATGACACGTGTGGCTATCTACACCCCACCTATGTAGCCCTGACCACTGTAGCCCCCAGGCTGGATGAGCAGATGTGCCCATCTTGGCTCAGACACAGCTTGCTGAACTTCCCAGGCACCCATACCCATTTGCCATTGTCTGATGTGACCAGGCTGTTTTTCCACTGAGAGTGAACACGGCTTGGCCTCCTCAGGTTATGAGCTCCATCAAGGCATGGTGTGGACCTGCCTGAGGAGGCTGCACAGAGACCTGGGGATGGCCTGGCAGGAGAGAAGAACATTAGGGGCCACCAAGTGGGTCCTGAAGCCACTTCTGCACACAGCAGAGTACTATATACCTACTTGGCACCCACCCCTGGCAGGGCAAAGCCTATGGATGCAGGAGCTACTGTGGGGCCTCCACACCAGCAAGGGGATGCAATCCCACCTGTGGGTCATGGGTTAAGGGATGCCTGGACCCTCAAGCTCCCTGTTCTGACCCTCCTTAGGGAGGAGGACAGAGCACTTGGTAGGACGGAGGCCGTGTGGCCACAACTGTCTCTGGACCTGTGGCCCCTGGCCTGGTGTCCTCTGGACCTTGAAGCAACCCCTGAGGCACTGGGCTGTGACCCCTCTCAGCTGTGTCTGCACAGCTTGGTGCTCAGGGGCAGAAGGCCCAGTGAGGGTGGCAACAGCCTGGGCCCAGGCATGGCTTCCTAAGGACAAGCTACTTACCATGACTGCCTGATTACACACATTGAGCTGGGGCTGCCCAGGGACCAATGCCTCCTGGTGCTGCCGGACGACTGGGGTGACTCTGCCGAGGGCGTCCAGGTACTCAGCACTGGCAAAGCTAGAGAGAGCATGCACAGTCACATTCTAGGCTGACAGGAGGGTGGGGCCAGGCCTGGACCTGCTGAGGTATGAGTGGGTCAGTGTCTGCTGTTGTCTGACAGGGCAGGGTAGGCAGCTGAGGGTTGCAGGCAACAGTCACTGTGGACTCAGGGCTCCGCTGACCCTGAGTCTCCCTGGGATGGGCAGGTGGCATCACAAACCCTTCTCTCTTCAGACTTACAGGCCAGGGGGAATGAGGACCCAGGAGGCTGAGCCTAACAAAGAGGCAGGGAATACAGCTGTACCCTGCCCTGTCCTCGTAAGGGTGACCTGCCTAGGAGCAGGCCAGGGAGCTGTGGATGGGAGCCTGGCCCCATGGGCTGGGCCTCCACGTTGGCCTGTGCAGTAGGCAGTGCCACTTGGACCATTCTTGAACATGGCACACACTGTGTCATCACAGAAGTGCCACCATCTCATTGCAAGATTCAGAAAGTGCAGCGAGAACAGCGCCGGCAGTCCTGAAGACCCCATACAAGGTGCCATTGGACTCCTTTCTTTTCACACACACACACACTCTGAATAGCTCCATGCTGCGTCACAAGGTCCGCCCCAGTGACATCACACCTTGGTGTTGTGTCACTATTGCACAGGATAGGGATGGATGTTGTGAAGGGTGCATGAACAAGACAGCTCAGGAGAAGACACCAGCCCAGGTTGCAGACAGCTCCAGGCACTCCAGCAGCCCTCAGTCCCAGTCCAGGAGGGAACCTCACTGCACAGGAGCACCACTGGGCGTGCAGGTGCTCTCCAGGGGCCTTGGGGCTGAGATGCCCACCTGTCAGGAGTCGGTTTTCAAGGACTTATGTACCTCCCAAGTCAGGTCAGCCCCCAAGGCCCTGCCAACATGGGCAGTGAGATCTGACCCTCCTACTGCCAGGGATGCCCAGACCCCTGGAAGCAAGATGGGACCTACAGGAATCTGGTGGGAGGTGTGGCAGGCTCTAGCCTTCCCTGATGGTGCCAGTACCAACTCCAGCCCAGCAGCCTCCTGGGAGAGCCCAGGCCCTCTGCCTGACACCTACAGACTGGGTGAGAAGCAGCTTTCAGCACCAGAACCTTCCCTATGGATCAGTGGTTCTCAACCCCCACAGGGTTGAGAACCGCTGCTATAGACGAAGTCCCACACAGAAGCAACGCATGACATGGACAGGAATGTATCTCCTTGCCCTCTGCTGCCCTGTCTATTAGGACTAGAATACAGAGAGCAACTTCTTGGTGGGTCTGGGCTTGGTAGGTTTGTGTGCCAAGTGCCCCAGGCTCTGGCCTAAGTACCTCAGCAAGCTGTCTGGTTTCATGTACATTTTCAATCCAAAGGTCGGTCTCAGGCATGTTCTTGTCTTTGTGGGATTCTATACTTATTCAAGCCTTGACCTCACCTGGAACCAGCCAGAGCCCTGGCTTTACCCACCCCTGTGAGCTGCAGCTCCCTACAAAGTGACACACATGTTTGTGTCTGAGGAGTAGCCACAGGCAAGTGGCTACATCAGAGCGTCTGGCCCAGGACAGGTCCCATCCAGGGGAGCTGTGCCCAGCTGGCTGGGGTGTGCTTTAAAATAACTACACTTAAGGCTGGGTATTGTGGCAGGTGCCTGTGGTCCCTACTACTCTTGGAGGCTGAGGCAAGAGGACTGCTTGAGCCCAGGGGTCAGAGGTTGCTCTGAGCTACAATGCCATGGCTCTCTACCCTGAGGTGATAGAGAGAGACTGTCTTAAAAACAAAAAACTCCCCAAACTCTCCACACTTTCTCAGCTGTGAGGCATCATGGGGAGGAAGGCAGCCTGGCCCAGCCTGTGTGCGCCTCTGCCCACCAAGGAGCAGGTCACAGCGACCCCCAGAGGAAGTTCCCTGGGGAACAGATGGGCCAGTGAGATGGTACAAATCCACACTTTAACCTTGGCTGGTCCCTGGGGGCTGCAGGCCTACAGAGGGAGGGTGCAGGGGTGACCCTGTGTCCTGACTATGGCTGCAACCTGCTCCCCGTCACCCCAGCAGCGTTTCAGAGTGGGGTTGCTGGTCTGTGGCGGCTTCTGTGGGGAGCTGGTCCCCATCTAGGGCACTTGTTACTGCATTTAGGGCCGTCCTGACCCAGGGCACTCTCATTCCTTCTTCACTTTAGTCATGGGTACAGGAGGCCCATTTCTAGGCAGCTCACACTGTCAAGGCACAGTGAGCCCTTCTGAGCTGAACATTTTGGTGGGACAGAGGGGGCTTGAGGGCTCCCTGGTGACATGTCAGGAGCCTGAATGTAGACCTTAGCAGTGGTACTGCTGCCCTGTGTCCTGTGCTGGGCTCTGCTGCTGCCAAGTCACCTCCCTCCAAATGAGACCCATCCAGAAGCAAAGCACACACGCAGTCCTCAGGCCTGGACTTGCCTGGGGTAACCACTCCTCCAAGGGTCTACATTTCCCTAGGACCAAGTCCATGAAGCCTAGACACTGGGGAACTCCTGGTTGGGCGTCCTTGGTCCCCCAGGACATGTGGGAACTGGGTGCTGCCTGTCCCACCTGGGGAGACTGGGAGAAGCTTCTGGGTGCTCAGCTCAGGGAGAGGAGGGAGGTGGGCACAGGGATGGGGCTACAGGGTACAGCTGCTGCTGGGGCTGGGGATGGGTGTGGCTCCTAAGGAATTACTGATAGGGATGTGTGCTTGGCGGAAAATGCCAGAATCACTCTGTGATGAGAAAAATATCTGGATGGGCAGGAGGCTGCCTCTGCTAAGCCCACAGGCATCCCCCACCCCAACTCACCTGAGCGGGTACCTCTCCCCCGGGTCTCGACCCAGGTGGAAAATGAGGGGCAGCTGCGTGTGTTCCTCTTGGGTGTGTGTTGTGACTCCAGAGACGTTCTGCCCAGGACAGAAGTCCACGCCCTGCAATGGGAAGCAGGAGGGAAGGTGAGGGTGTCCCCTATGCTGCCCCTTACAGGCGGCTTGATGCAGAAGGGTGAATGGACATACATGGGAAAGGGGTGAAGCTCCCGTCTACGACCCCTGAGTTGTCTTGCAGACATGCCTGTCCACCCCCCAGTTCATATGCACCCCTCTTCTGAGGGGCAGGTGGGTGTCTCTAAAATATTCTAGCTAGTCACAGATCTCGATGCCAGTAATTTCACAGGTGAAGCCCTGTCTGTTGAGCGGGAGAAAGTGAGAGCACCTCCTGGAGTCATCAGGGAAACACGGAGGACAGAGCTGACCATAGGGCCCCAAAAGCATGTTAACCTGCTCAAGAAGAGGCCAGGGTTTAAAACAACCCTGAATGGCTCAGCACCCATAGCTCAGTGGTTAAGGTGCCGTCCATATACACTGAGGAAGGCAGGTTTGAACCTGGCCAACAATAAGAAAAATAGCCAGGCACTGTGGTGGGAACCTGTAGTCCCATATACTTGGGAGGGTGAGGCAAGAGAACTGCTTAAGCCTAAGAGTTTGAGGTTGCTGTGATCTGTGACACCATGGCATTCTACCAGGATGACACACTGAGACTGTATCTCAAAAAAACAAAAAAAACCGAACAAAAACAGCCTGGATCAACATAGTCAAGAAAACAGAGGAAAAGCGCAGGAAATAGGTAACAAGTTCAGGCCCAGGCTGTAGTCAGAACCTCACACACCGTGTGTGGGGTTGGTTGGCCTGAACAGGGGCCAGGTGGAAGGTCTGTGACATCAGCATGGCCTGTTGGGTAAACTACCCCCTGACCTGGCACACAAGTGCCCATAAATTCCCTGTAGCTGCCCTGAGTCCATGGCTGGAGAAGAGGGGGCCTCATTCTAAATGCCTCATGGCAGCCAGCAGTGGATACCAACATGGGTTTTAAAGTGGTGACCTTTTGATCTCCTTAGTGTACCAGCTGGAGAACAGGTGTGAACTGCATGGCCAGAGAAATAACCACATGGGCTCTGAACAGGCTGAGCAGTTAATGGGGTCATCTAGACAGATGACTCAAATTATAGTTTGGATGCAAATCAAATAAGCTATTTAATTAAGATCCCACTAATTTGAGCAGAATTTCTCTCTGGTTAAGCTCTTGCCTTCCCCAGGGCAGCAGCACCTTTCCCCGCCCTTAGGGGTGAAGGTGCCCAGGCCCAGGCCCAGGCCCTGGGCAGGAGTCCATAAAGAGGAAGGTGGGCATGGTCCCTCATCCACCCTGAGCCTGAGATGAGCCATGGTACACATGGCCCCAAGCCCTCGGAGTCTCACTGTCACTCAGGGAGAGAGCAGTGGTTTCATCGTAGCCCACTGAACCTCAAACAGGCTGAATCGATCCTCCTGCCTCAGCCTTCCGAGTAGCTGGGCACAGATGTTGGAACACACCCCAGAGGCAGCACAGCCCTGCCCAGCTGCCCCCCTGCCTCCGCCCCTAAGCCCCGTACCTGTCTGAACTCCTCCCATGAGTTGGTCCAAGTCCAGAAGTGAGCCTTGTACTGGCCCAGAGTGACGGCCATCAGTGTGTTGCCACGGTAATAGAATATTGGCCTGTTGGGCAGGGGAGGGCTTTGTAATGTCGGCAGAGATACATACTCCCTCATGGGACTCTCGGCCACATATCGGGAGCTGCTCACGCTACAGGCCAAGGTCTCAGCTGATGTTTTACAGGCTCCTGGAAGGCTCATGCTAGAGTCAGATCATGGGAAAACCGGACAGACCAGGAGGCTGCCAGAGTGGCCCTGTGTCCCTGGCCATGGGCAGGGGGGTAAGGCTGCAGCATATGGGGTACCTGTCACAGGGTCAGGGTGACAGGCTTGAGGACCCAGGATGGAGCCAGGACATTCTCTGCCCAAGGTAAGCAAACTTGGGGCCAGGTTTTTTTTTTTTTGAGACGGAGCCTCAAGCTGTCCCCCTGGGTAGAGTGCCATGGCATCACACTCACAGCAACCTCCAACTCCTGGGCTCAAGTGAGTCTCCTGCCTCAGCCTCCCAAGTAGCTGGGACTACAGGCGCCCGCCACAACGCCTGGCCATTTATTGGTTGCAGCCATCATTGTTGTTTGGCGGGCCCGGGCTGGGGATTTGAACCCGCTACCTTAGGTGTATGTGGCTGGCGCCTTAGCCGCTTGAGCCACAGGCGCCGAGCTGGGGCCAGGTTTTAAGAGGACAAATCCTCCCCTAAACTGGAGGCCACCCATGCCAGCCCCTGTGGCCACCCTCATCTTCTATTTTGTTGTTTAGCTTTTAAAATCCATGTCTCTTCAGAGCCACCTGGCAAGCTCAGTTTGCCTGAGCAAAGTGGCAGTTGGTCTCAGGAAGAAAGAAATGGGCTCTGGGCATGAAGACTGGGCACAAGGCAGGTGTGGGACAGGTCAGGGATGTGGGAGGCAGAGACATAGGGCCTACCTGCTTGGCCACGTGATGCCTCCTGGCCCAGGGTGTCCCTTGGCCCAGGGCCCTCTCACCACAAACTCGCCCACACTCCTCTCTGCCCCCTGGGCAGAGTATGAGCACTCCTGTGTCCAGGCTCCAACCCACCTGTCCACCAGCCGGCCCTGTAGCAGGGTGGGGAGGAGGTCCAGGCCATCGATGGTCCTGTCGCTGGGTGGTTCTAGGCCTGCAAGGGACAGGCTGGTGGTGAAGAGGTCCATGATGCTGCCCAGCTGATGGCTCACCTGAAATGGACGTGGCAGTGACCCACTTAGGACGCTGAGACCCCAGGTATGAGTCATCTCAGAAGCACACACCCTGCAGAGGGAACTCGAGCCAGGCCACAACCTTGCTCCAGGGCCCTCCATGGAGAGGACACAGCAGCACAACCCCGCCTTGAGGCCCAACTGTCCTGAAATGGACACCAGCATCATTTAAAACTGGACACTGAAAGCCACTGTGAGCTTTGCAAACCAGGTCACAGGTGCAGATAGCTAAAGCTCCCACAGCCCCCAAGAGTGATGTGGAAGCATGGCTAGGGCTGGACAGGACCCAGCTAAGTGGGAAACTCTGAAGGGCTGGCAGGAGATGGCCCTCCTGGAGTGGCCCTCTGGGTGATAAGCTGTAACCAGGGCGGGCCCCTCAGGGCTCCACCTCCTTGGGGGGCCAGCCAGGTTTCTTCACAAGGTCACTGTCCTTGTAACCTGCAGTTGGTCGGTGGGAACAATGGTGGAAGGAGACAGACCCCTGCCCACTAACCACAGTCCTGGGACAGCCCAGCAGGCATCACCCCGCCCACTGCTTCCAGGGCCTCACGCTCCCGCACAGTTCAGAGGGTATTTCCTGCCCCTAATCATGGGGACCCTCACCACCCAGCTCGGCTGAGGCAGATAGAGACTATTCCCACTGTCACATAGACATCTCACAAAATGAGCAGAAGCTGCTTGGCCATTCAGGTCTGTTGTGCCCAGAGCGGAAGGGAGCCACCAAGGTCAACAAAGAATCCTCTGTGGCCTTCACAGGGGAAGAAGGACCCAGGGCAGCCAGCACCAGGTAACAATATCGGTTTTAAAGTGGGTGACCCCAGCTGGGCACTTGTAGCTCAGTGGCTAGGGCGCCAGCCACATACACTGGAGCTGGTGGGTTTGAATCCAGCCTGGGCCAACTACAACCAAAAAATAGCTGGGTGTTGTGGTAGGTGCCTGTAGTCCCAGCTGAGGCAAGAGAATTGCTGAGGCAAGAGAATTGCTTAAGCCCAAGAGTTTGAGGTTGCTGTGAGCTGTGATGCCATGGCACTCTACCAAAGGTGATAAAGTGAGATTCTATCTCTAATAAATAAATAAATAAAAAATAAAGTGGGTGACCTTTTGATCTCCTGAGTGGACCAGCATCCTTTCAGAGAGATTTTGGTTTTGTGGGGGGTGGGCTGTTGTTTTTTTAGGACAGAATTTTTTTAAAAAGCAGAGGAAAGAAAGAGATCTAGATATCCTTGCCATTTCTGGAAAAAAAAATGAGAGATTGTGGGGAGAGGGGCTGGTGTCTGACACAGCATCACGGGGAGAAATGAAACTTCCTGACTCACATGTGGGGCCTTTAGGGAAGCTTGACCCATCATCAGCCCCTGGGGACAGCTGAGGCCATACAGGCTTTTAAGGCCTAACTTGGAACCAAAGGCTATGATTAATACAGTCACCCACCAAGAGGGGGGAAGAGACAGCTACATGTCTGAACCTGGACAAGTGTTGGGTGTCTCAGTGAACTCAGGCCTGACCCTGCCTCACTCTGTCTCACTTTGTGCCCCTGGGGGATGGCAGGAAGAGGCAGCCAGGCTCTGGAGAGATGAGTTTTCTCCCTTAGGGAGCTGGACAGAAGAAGGGCCGAGGGTCTTTCTCAGCTGGGCTCTCCCCTGGACATGCTGCGGGGATTGTCGGGTGCCAACAGACCTGAACCACAGTCATGGAGCTGCCGTGTGCCAGCTGCATTGGCTCCTCACCCAGCGAGCAGAGACCCTACCAGGTCTCTCCTCGACATACAAAGTGTCCTGAGTCTCAGGCCATCATCAGAGCGTCACTAAGTGGCTATTGGCCCATCACTCTGTGCAGGCACCCTCATGTGTGGCCAAGTGGCTCGTCTTTGCCTGCAGGGTGACAGCACTGGGGACAGAGAGCTTGGGATACAATCCGAGGTGTCCCACACAGGGTGTCCTGCCCCCAAGCCATATTTCTCCTGTAGAATGCAGTTGCTCCCATGGCCACCCCTGCCTTTCAGATGGAGCCAGGCTACAGCTGCCTGGAAAGGAATGGGGAGGGGTCCTTAACCTGCAGGGCCCTGGTAACATGAGGTGACCCAGGAGTCTCAAGTCAGAGGCCCAGACAGAGGGTCCTGAGGAGGGGAGGCCCAGCTGGCCTCTGGAACCTGTTGGTAGGGGCTACCCCAAGCCCTGTTTGTTGCTGGGGACACAGGAGACTGTCCCAGGCATAATGGGCAGGCAAGTGGGCTCTGGGGCCAGATGCCTGGGTTCTGTGCCCAGCTCTGCCCACTACCTGGAGGCCTCAGTTTCCTAAGGCTGGGTGAGGGGAAGGAGGGAGAGAAGGCCTGCCCATGGTTGGCAGAACAACAGCCCCTAGAACATGTAAACCCCAATCCCTGAACCCTGTGACTATTTGACCGCACTTGGCAAAGATGACGAAGGTGAGTGAAGATGGCCAATCAGCTCTCCCTAAAACAGGGAGCTTTACCTGGATCATCCAGGTGGCCCAATGTAATCTCTGGGTCCTTAGAAGTGGAGTAGGGAGGCAGGAGACCGGGGCCACACCGCTGGCTCTGAAGGCAGAGGGGACACCTGAGCCCAGGGATGTGGATGCCTTGAGCAGCTGGAAAATCAGGAGCCAGTCCTGCCCACACCTTGCGTCTGGCCCCTGAACTGAGAGTCAGTGTGTGTTTTTAAGGCCAGCACTTTAGGTAATTTGTTCTAGAGGCCCAGGAAGCCCCGACACCCCCTGTGGGCTTGTGTGGACCACTTGAGTTGCTGCCAGGGCTGAGAACAGTCACCTCCACCTCGGGGTGGCTCCTCAGGAGGGGAGAGCCCAAGACGATGGGGACACACTCCTGACATCAGTTTCAGCACCTCATGGCTCAGGAGACTCAGCCAAGGGCCATCTGTCCCGGGCTGGGGGCTGGGGGTGAGCTGCCCGGCACAACAGTGAGCCAGGCTGGGGATGGCAGCAGGACACACACCTGGTCGGACCAGGCCACTGTCCTTCCCCGGTGGACACAGTCATCACTGGTGTTCAGTGAGGCTGCTGTTGGTCTCCCAAGAGTGTTCACAGAACCCTGGCCTGAGAAAAGGACTTCGAAAAAAAAGACTCTGTGGTTAAATCAGTTTTAAAAAACGTGGCTTAGGATGGGTTCAGTGGCTCACGCCTGTAATCTCAGCCCTCTGGGGAGGCCAAGGAGGGCAGGTCATCTGCACTTAAGAGTTCAAGACCAGCCTGAGCAAGAGCAAGACCCCATCTCCAAAAAAAAAAAAAAAAAAATAGCCAGGCGTTGTGGCGGGTGCCTATAGTCCCAGCTACTCAGGAGGCTGAGCAAGATCACTTGAGCCCAAGAGTTTGAGATAGCTATGAGCTGTGACCCCAGGGTATTCTACCAAGTACAACAAAGCGAGACTCTGCCTCAATAAATAAATAAATAAATAAATAAATAAAACTTGCTCCATACCCCTTCCAGAAGTCCATGGTACCCACTGGCACACTGAAGCCCCTGATAAGTCCTGCAGAGAAGTACACGGACTGGACCACAGAAGCCACCACCCCTCAGAGTAGTTACCCACACCCCATGTGACAGCCCATGGAGACACTATCTGGTGCCCCCATAAGCCTTTCTATCCCTGATGGACAAGGTAACACAGCACCCCACACTCCCTGAGAAGGCCCAGGTTTCAAGAGGAGGGGTGAGGAGGCCATCGTGCTTCAAGGCAGAGCAGAGCAAGTGGAACGAGGTGGGCTGTGAGGGGGGTGAACTATGTACCCAGGATGGCCACAGGCCTGGACTGGAGGTCTTGCAGAGACGGGACCGGCCCTGGCTTACCTGGGCTGCAGGGATGTGTCCTGGCCACCATGCGATTGCAGGCTCCCTCATCCCACCTTCAAATGTGGTCTGCTTCCCACACAGAAAGGGACCATTGCTGCCACCTTGGAGGAGAACCACACTTATCAGACCACCTCTGGTTGGAGCTGCATGGCGCCCTCAGGAACAAGGCCTGACTCAGACTCTCCTGGGTGCCACTGCTGAGACCTGCCAAGGAGACACAGGCCAGACTGGGAGCTCCAACCTCTCAGCAAGGTCAGAAAGCCAGAGGATGGCTCTGGCCAGGCTCAGGTCTCAGATACTCTGGTTGTCAGGTCTCTGAGAGAAAAGGGGAACATATGCCTCAAATTGACCCTCTTACTGCCAGGAAACCTCTGAAACTTCCAGCAAAGTCATAAAACAGGGCTCAGGGCTTGTACCTGTGGTCCCAACACTGTGAGAGGCTTTGGCAGGAGGACTGCTGAGCCCAGGAGTCAGAGGCTGCAGCAGGCTGTGACCACACCCCTGCACTCCAGCCAGGGACAGAGTGAGGCCCTGACTTTAACAACAACAAAAACCAAAAACCACCTTCCCAGTGATGGAGGCTGCCAGGATGCACTGACATGCTCAGGAAGTACTTCCTAGACGCTGATGTCTGCAGCCGCCCCGTGTATCTGGGGAAGGGGCTTTAGTTAAAAAGGAGCCAGCTCCTTGGGTTCTGACAGTCAGGAAAGCTCCCTAGCTGCATGTCTGACTAACCCTTGACCACACCTGAAGCAGGTGGCAGGTGTCAAAGGGCTGAGCCCAGCCCCGGTGGTGGCCCTGTCCCCAGCTCACTCCCAGAAGTCAGGCAGGGCTCCAGGGTCCTGCAACTGGGTGGGGCCTTCATCAGGGGACCAGATGCTGCTCCTGCTACCACAGACGACTGGCCAAGGTGAAAAACAGGGAAAAAAGAAACAAAGCAGGGTTCTTCTGGCAATGAGAAAGTGAGCACCCTACTGTCCTCAAGGCAGGTGTAAGTCACCTGGCTCATTCCTCTATGTCCTGACCTGTCTCTGTGTGTCAGCATGGGAAGAGCTCAAAACAGAATGTCTAAGGCAACTCCATTCAGCTAACATGCCACCAAAACTGCCCAGCAGGACTCAACCATGCACCAGGGAGGGCTCCGCTCTCGCACCACGGGGACCAGTGAGGAAACACCACACCGACAGCTGCTGCTTCTGGGGAAGGATGCCCAGGGCTCAAAGACGTCTACGCTCCACTTCTTTTGTTTTGTTCCCTCTTCTTCTCCTTATTTTATTTTTTTGATGTTCTATTCTGAAGCTGGGTGGTAGGTACAAGGGGTTTTCATTTTATTACTATTTATATCTTACAAATAGGCATGTAAACCTTTTCTGTTTGTATGAAATAGTTCGTAATTTAGAAATTAAGACTAAGTTAGCTGAAGTCCAAAGCCTGGACCCTTGGGGACCTCTAGGACTCTGGTTGGAGGTCACAGGCAGCCTGGGGAGAAACCCCCTAGGCTTGCCATGGGGCAGCATCTGGTGCAGCCCAGCCCTGTCCAGAACCTCCCTCCCAGAGCCACCAGGCCCTTTCCAGGGAGTCTGTAGGCAGCCTGGACTTGCCCCAGCAGCCCTGCCCCTCTCTGGGTCTATGTGCTATGGGAGCCCACGGAGGGGTGTTGGTGTGAGATGTGCTGCAGGAGCCCTGGGTCAGCCCGCGCCACAGGCTGCCCCTTTGCCAATGTGTCTCTTGTCCAGCCTGAGTCAGCAGTACTGGGCTGTCACTTGAAACCCTGAGGCCCCCACAGAACCCCAGGCTGCAGGGTCCCCAGCATGAGCTTGACTCAGGGTCTGCTGGGTGGGGACAGGCAGGATCAGTCACCTCGTGAAGTGGCCAGCCCACACCACCCAATAAGAGAAAGGGATGAGATGTTTAATCATAGCAGGGGCAAGACAGGGCCCTGGGTGTTGGCAGGAAGGCCCCTGCATGGGAGGCCCAGAGTCCCTGCCAGTTGTGGGTGAGGAGGCCATTCTCATAGGGCAGCTTGTGGGTCTGGTGGTGTCCAGTCCCCTAGCCCCCGGCCCATGCACAGCTCCCCTCCCCAGGCACCATCGGATGGCCCCCCTTCCCCAGGCACCATTAGACAGCTCCCCCTGCCCAGGCACAGCCCCCTTTCCCAAACACCATCAGACACCCCCACGCCTCTTGCCCCCAGGTACCATTGAAGGCCCCCCCTTTTCCCAGGCACTGTAAGATGCCCCTTTCTGCCGGGCATGTCACCTCCCAGCCTCCTGTCTCCAGGGCTGCTACTGAACCTTGGGAGGTGTGTGACCTCTCCCGAAACACACCCGAACCTTATACCACCTCTGACTGCAGCTTCTCCCCTCCTCTCCTCTGCAAACTCAAATCCACTCCAGCCTGTGGCCCAGGCCAGGCGGGAGGGCCACGGGCCTTCCAAGACCTCCACCCTCCCTGGATGTGGGGGCCCCTCACAGCTGGCCAGTACACTTGTCTTGAGATAAAGCCTTTTGTGTGGATGGCAACAGGGGGAACTGTGGGCACTCACCTTGTCTGGGAGCGGAAATGAGGGCAGCTCCGTTATCGGACGTGAAGAATACAAATGTGTTCTCCCCGATGCTTAGGCCCCGCAGAAGGTCCAGTATTTTCCCAACACTATCGTCAATCTCCCGGACGGCATCCCCATACCTGTGGGAGAGGTGAGTTGATCAGGTGGCTACAGAACAGTGCAACTAAGAGAGCATATGAAATCTTGATTTCAAAGACGACCAGTGAAATGGGTCTGCTTCCCAAGAGAGGAGGGATAAAAGCTTGAGTTCCAATTCATGTGGCTTGTTATGGGCAGAAGGCACCCTACTGCAGTCTTCCTCTTGCTAACACTGGGCCAGCAGTTTCAAAGAGGCTAAGGAGTTTTGGTCTTTTTCTGTGAGAGGTAACTAAGTGTAACGGCACGGAGTGTCCCATCCCTGGAGGTAACCAAGCACAGCTGAAGCCCCATCTAGTCTGCATTTCTCAGACCAGGGACTCACCTCCCACGCTGACTGGTACCCAGGAAAGCCTTAGAAGCATAAACAGGTGCATGTGTGGCATCAATGGCCCAGTAGAGGAAGAAGGGGTGTTGCTGTGCCTGCTGCCTCTTAATAAAGTCCAAGGCTTCCTGCAGAGAAGATCACACTCTTGGTCCCAGCCCTGCAGGTGCTGGCCCCATTCTGCAGAGAGCTGCCCAACCGGACACAGGTGTTTGTTACCTGTAAGTAGATCTGGGTAAGATTGGATTCTCCAGTCTTCAGATTAATCGGAAATTCTTCATAAAATCTGAAAACAATACAGATCCAGACATCAGAATTCATTTAATTAATTAATTTATTTTGGGGGGACAGAGTCTCACTTTGTTGCCCTTGGTAGACTGCTATGGTATCACAGTTCACAGCAACCTCAAATTCTTGGGTTTAAGTGATTCTCTTGCCTCAGCCTCCCAAGTAGCTGGGACTACAGGTGCCCAGCTACTTTTGTTGTTGTTTGGCAGGTCCCGGCCAGGTTCAAACCCACCAACCCCAGTGCATGTGGCTGGTGCCCTAAACACTGAGCATGGGCGCCAAGCCCAGACATCAGAATTTAGATGGAGATTGCTCCCTTCTCCCTAATTTTACTGGCAAAATCACGGGCCTCATGTAAAAGTAGGGTGGAGATGGCTTATTTACAAAACAAATCAAAGTGGAAGTGTGAGTTGTTCCTGAGATATGAGGTCTTATCTAGAATGGTGTCAGGGCTGAGACCAGGCACCCACACACCCTGCCATGTGGGAGGCAGAGGGACAGACCAGAGAGAGTGGCAGAGAGAGGAGCCCAGGGAGCAGGATGACAGCTAAGGACATGGAGCTTTCCTTAAGGTGAGGAGAATGTTCTGCAGTTTACTGCAGTGATGGCCATTAAACTCTGAATCTACTGAAAACCGCATCCCTCCAGGCTTCGGGGAGCTGTAGGGCAGTGAGCTATATCTCAAAAGAACTGTTATCTCAGATGAAGCACCGAGTTGGTCCAGCTTTGTGGTCCACCAATGTGTAAGGAAAGCTCCCACCAGAAAGCAAACCAAAAAAGCTAAGCCACACAAAACTCAAGACAAACGAGAGCGGAATGCCAGAGGCTCCTCTCTGATAGCTGTCCCCAAAGTTCAGGCAGCAACTGGCCTTACAGGTAGGAAGGAAAGTCTTCACCCACTGTCTTCTCTGTCGTGCCGCCACTTCTCTGAACCTCCCAGATACAGCCCACAGTCCAGCCTGGCCTAGGCAGATGGTCCAGCACCAGCAGGTGGCCAGCAGTCACCATGAACAAAGCTGTGTGCATGTGACCCTGGGGCCATTAGGAGAGAGCCCAGGAGAGAGTCCAACAGGGCTCTGGGTCGAGACTGAGAGCACATCTGGCCCAGGACTTACAGCCCGTGGCTGAGACAGCCTGTCAGAGAAAAGGGAGGAGGGCTGGGCACTGCTGCCAGGGCATGAGAGGGAGGGGCGGGCCTCTGTTACCTGCCGACCATCTCCCAGTCCCTGTACACAGGGATGTTGGGCCTGGCCCTGTTGTCATAAGGTCCAAAATGGCAGTTGGGGGATCCAAACCACTCGTCAAATCCATGCTTCAAGGGGTGGAACTGGGGCCTGTGACCCAGATGCCTGGAACAGGAACCCAAGACACTTCAGGGACACACGTACATGCCAAACTCCCAAGCAGCAACACACCACCATCTTCACAAATCTTTAGTGAAGCCAGATGACCACTCCCACTGCAGGTGCACGCTAGGCCTGGATACATCGAGGTGTGGAAGACCAAGACCTCCCCCCACCCAAGAACACTGGGCCATTCCCCCAGAAAGCACTGGTGCCCGCTGGGGCTGGGGGTCCTGCTGGGACTCAGGGAGGGGCCTTGTAGGACAGCACACCAAGAAACCTTTCTTTGCCTACGACTGTCTGAATCCTGCCTGGCCAGGCCCCATGTGCTCCCAAAGCTCTGAGGGGTGTGCAGAACCCGTTTTCCCTCTGGGGCAGTGTGTGGAACCCCCATGTTTTCCTTCTGGGGGTGTGAGTGGAACCCCACCCGTGTTTTCTCTTTGGGTGGCCACGTGTCTTTGCCCAGGTCAGACAGTTACTGCTGTGGGTGGGGCGTGCAGGGCCTGCCAGCCCTCCCACACTCTGTTGCAGGACTGGGGCCATTACACAGAATACTGTAGCACCACATGAGCGATGGCCACAAATGCTCTCCAGGAACCAAGGTTCACCTGCTCTAAGGACAGAGGGCCCCTCAGAAAGCAGCTGGTACCTGGTGCTACATCTCAGTTGCCCCTTCTCTCTGCCAATCTGGTCCCTGAGGCCACTGGCAGCCCCACAGGCCACACAGGAGCTGGCCTGTCCCCCTTCCTCAAGCAGCCCAAGCCTAGAGGTGGTGGCTCTGGTGGCCTCCTGCCCCGTGCTCATCAGTCTGAGGAATGTTCCAGCTGCAGCCTGAAAGCCACATATGGACCCTGGCAGAGGCAGCATGAGGCCCTACCCCCCACCATTCTGGGAGACTGCACGGGGTCACTGTGTGCTCACTGGACTACTGTTGGAGGTCGGAGGGGCTACAGGGAAGCCCAGGCTGGTGGACAGGATAGAGCCCACCAGTGAGTCTGGGGGCTGGTGAGTGCTGGGTCCAGGCCTGTGTCTCAGCTGGCCCTGCGGCTGGCTCTCACGCCCACTGGCTCCCCTTCTTCTTGCTCCCAGGTGAGCACCTGCCTCTCCCTGACCTCCAGCTCCCTAACCTCCAGCTCCATGCTGCATCTCCTCCAGCTGTTTCCCATGTTCAGGCTGCGGCTCCAACACCTCATCCTCTCTGGACTCTCACTGGGGAGCTGCCACCCAGATGCGTGGTAAGTTCCTGTGTGTCCTCATTTATCAGCACAAAGGCCTTTGCTTAAGAGAAACACCCTCAAGATGCTCCCTGAAATGATGAGTCAATTCAGTGTGCTTGTCCTGAGACAGCAGGAGGGCAGCTATCACAGGAGGTGGGGGCAGGTCAGGTAGCCTCTGAGCAGGAGCCCAGCTCTGTCCACACGCAGGCTGGGTCGGGCACATGGAGCCCAGAGTGTCACATGTGGGCTCGGTCAGTCATATGTAGACCTGGTCTGTCCATACGTGGGCTCAGTTGGACACACATAGGCCAGCTCTGTGGCACTAGATCTGGATGAAGGAAGTCAGTGCAGACCAGGTCGGGGACAGGATCCCACCTGCCTGAGAAGCCTCCTGAGGCCTGTCTGGGACTCACTGGGCCCCCACAGCCAGGCTACTGCCCACTGTGCCAATCCCAAGTTCAGGATGAGCCACCTCTGCAGGGCCCACGTGGCCCTGCTGCTCTCCTCTGGTCATTCTGGAACCTTGGTGAGTGCCACTGAGACAAGCTCCCTGCCCAGCCCTGACTGGGAACAGGAAGTTGCCACTCCAGGTGCAGAGAGCTCTGGTCCCCAGTGCTTGCTCTAGGGTATAGCCCCAACAGGCCCTGATAGCCTTGGGGGTGTCTGCTGGGGCTTCCTTGTGCTGACCTTCAGCCCGAAAGGTCAGCCACCACTACCCTCTGGTTCTCCTGGGTGTAGCAGATACCCCACTGCTGCAGCTGTCAACATCAGAGGAGACACTGTCCCCAGGGGGTGCTGACAGGAGGGGACCCAGGCAGCCAGGCTGAGACCACAGAGGGAAAAGAGTCACAGAGACTTCCAGATGGGTGAGGCTTGCTGGGTGATGGGGGGAGGTGAACACCTGACATGATCCTTCTAGACTGCTTAGACATTTCCAGGGAACAACAGACAGAGAACGTTTCGTGCACTGCAAACAGTGTAAACAGGAAACAGCGCAGTGGCATCTCTGTTACTGGAACCCAGGACTCACTCACTGGGTTGTCCTCTACTTCCTGGTTGCTTCTAGGTTTAGAATCAAGTTTTCACCACAACTGACATGTTGTCCTGTCTAGGATGGCACTTGTGTGTGCAATAATGTGGCCCTTCTGGTGACACTGTGGCAGGAAGCAGCCCAGGGAACAGAGTTGCTGTGACTGTGGCACGGGACGTGGGCTCCCAAATCAGACCCTGCATAGCAGCCCTGCTCATGCCTGATGTCCCAGGCTGGAGAGGACCTGAGGTCCTAAACCCTGGCCCACATAGGAGTGCTGGAGACATGGAAATGGACCAGAGTTTTTGTTTCCCACCAAAGAAGCCTTCCTTGTTGGGAAACTTTCAGGAATGACCCCTTGGGAGGAAGGCCAAATGGGCTATACAGACACCCAGACAGGCTGGCACTAAGGGAACTCACCACTTGCCCACAATCTTGCTGATGTAGCCGGCCTCCTTCAGCAGCTCAGGCAGGAGGTGTTCCGACCTCGGGATGCCACCCACGATCTCCTGTGGCGTGTATGCTGGAAGAACAGCTCTGTGTGAGCCATGGCAGACATGGAGCAGGCAGCTCAGGACGCTGCGCTCAGCAGACCCTGCCCACCGGGGTCAGCGAGAAGGCCATACACATCACTTTCCAGCACTTTTCCAGGCATGCCTCACTGGGGTAGGTACCAAGAAGGCTGTGTCTGCTGCCGCTCAGCCTCAGGCCCCACCCCCAATGGAGAGTCTAGCCAGGCCGGGCCTTGGGAACATGCCACAAGATCCCTGCTGCCCACCCTGTGCCTCCCCATCCTTCGCTTTTCTTCTTGGGCCACTTGAAATCCTACTCTGTGAGACCATCCCCAGAGAACCCATCTAACCCCTCAAAGACTGTTTCCAGAATATCCACTGGCCCCATGCCCCCTGGATCCCTCCGGACCACTCAGCTCAATGAGTCAGAGCTTCTGGAAGGACCAGCCTGGGTAGAATGGGTGGGCCTGTGTGCTGCTCTCCCAGGCCGGGCCAGCCAAGAGGTGCTCAGCCAGCTACTGAGACCCAGGTGTGGCCCCCAGCTCGCTTTCCACATGCCTGGCATACAGTGCTTTGATGGAAGTGTTTCAATCTGTCTTAAAATCACGTGACAGAAATACAGCATCACAGTCCTGCCCACCAAAGCCACCTGTAAAGATGGCTGACCCATGTCCCTTCCCACCCTGTGCCCATTCTGGTCCTCAGGCTCACACTGGCTGTCCCTGAAGGGAGGGGACGTACCGTTTCTGGCATGGGCGTTGGTGGTGTAGAAGCCGTTTCGGATGGGCAGCCGTCCTGTGAGCAGTGCTGCCCTGGCTGCAGGGAGGTGGTAAGGATAGAAACAGGTGGGGGTTGGGTCAGACCCCATGGCTCCATGTATGTGCTCTTGTGCATGACCCCAGCTGGGTCATGGCAGCTGCTGACACGGCTTCCCATCCCTCCTGGCCCCTGATTGCCCATTGCACAGAAGGAAGTGTGGACCTCAGATGCTGCTGCACCACTGCCATCCCTAAGGCCTGGCCTTGCTCGCCAGTCTCTGGGACACACAGTAGACTTTGGATCCACAAAGCCCCTACCTTCCCCTTCACAAGTGACTCCTTTGGAGGGGGGAGCTAGATGCCTCACCCTGCCCCCACATGGCCAGAACCACCCACAACTTCACTCTCTGAGCAAGACACAGCCAGTGACCTTGGGAGGCAGAGGCAGCACCTGCTACCTGAGGACCTAAGGACCTGGGCTGGGACCCAGTGGAACAGGCCCCACCTGCCACCCCTTTCACACACCTTGGGAAATAGCGAGATGCTGCCTTCCCTGGGCCAGTGGCCCATGCTGACTTACATGGTGAGCACAGAGGGTTGGCAGAATAGAAGTTTGGGAAAAGTGTTCCTTCTGCAGCCATCCGGTCCAAATTTGGCGTCTCTCTGGAAGGTTCTCCATATACCCCCAGGTCGCCCCACCCCATCTGTAGGGAGCAGGGGAAGCAAGGTGAATGCCTTTTGCTGCATAACTTCTGTCTTGGGAAGCCTCTGAGGGCTGACAAGAGCTTGTGTTATGGACAGCGGGAGAGAATCCCTCACACTCCCTCCTGTCCCAGCCAGGCAAGAGCAAACCCCACAGCTGCTACAAGACACAGGGCAGAGCTCCTCGGTTAGCCCCAGCTGTGCAGGTTTTCACCCCACTTAGCAGAGGTGTCTGCACGGCCTTCCCGCCTGGCCTGGTTTGGCCATTTGCTCATAGGGGATTGGCGCCTCACAATCCACACCTACTCTCAACATAAACATGCAAGGTCTTATAAGTCTGTCATGCAAATTTGGATTTCAAAACACGAGGTGCTGGGTGTCATGGTGAGTGTCTGCAGTCCCACTAGTCAGGAGGCTGAGGCAGAAGGATCACTGAGGCCAGGAGTTGGAGGCTGTGGTGAGTTGTTATGATACCAACCACTGCATTCCAGCCTGGGCAACAGAGTGATCCCGCTCTAAAACACGGGGATCAGATCCCCCGCTAAAGCTAAAACTGGACTGGAATTACCTGACCCAGCAGTGCCCCTCCCAGGTACACGCTTGAGAGGCCCGAAAACTTGTGTCCAAGCAGACCACATGGAACTCATGGCCTCATGAGCACATCAGAGTCCACCAGCTAACCCATGGACACAGGAATGTGGTCTGTATGTACCACAGGGTGGGACCTTTATTTAGAAGTGGGGTCTTTGTGGATGTAATGAGCTAAGATACTGGAATATCTTATTCCACATGCTAGAATAGGGTGGGCCCTAAATAAAGGATGACTGGTGTTCTTGTAAGGAAAAGAGACAGAGACCCAGATGTACAGGGCACAGGGCCCTCTGAAGACAGTGGCAGAGATGGAGTGACGGAGCCACAGCTAAGGTGCCTGGGAGCAAGGAAGAACCCTTCCCTGGAGCCCTCAGAGAGAGACTAGCCTCCTGTATCATGGACTTTTTACAGTAAACCCTCCAAGTGGGAAGATGGGATGGCAGCCGGGTCCCTGAGGAAGCACCACGATGCAGGTGGCAGGGTGGGGGAAGGCACAGTTGTTCACTGTGAATTTCTTCAAATTTTGCTGTGCAGACTGATGAAAAAACTACTTTAAAACAGGCGATGGCCATGATTTTGCTTGAGAGCCAGGGAGAGGAGCCTGCGCTGAAGAAGTGGCCCTCATGGCCCAGTGGCCTTGCTTCTCCCTCACCTTCCCCACCTGGGCAAGTTCCTCCAAGCTTTGTCTCCCAACACGTCCACCTTGGCATGGGCACTGCAGGGGCACTGCTCTGCAAACACCCTCTTGGGCCAGGCCTGTTGGACACTCCCTCCCCTTGTCTGAAGAAAAAGGGCAACTGGATGGAGGAGCCAGAGCTGCCCCAGCCACGCAGCCTTGTGGCTGAGGTCACCTTCCTCTAAATGCTGCCTCCTTCAATGACATGCCTTCCTGTGAAAGATGCTCTGAGCACCACCCAGGTGCCACTAAAGGGGCTCAGCCTGCCGCAGTCCCTTCCCTCAAGGGTTCCCCCAGCCACCATCAGGTTCACCCCCCACTCAGACAAGATAACTTCCAAATACAACTGTCTACTTTAAGAGACTTAGCTGAGGGCGGTGCCTGTGGCTCAAGGAGTAGGGCGCTGGCCCCATATACTGAGGGTGGAGGGTTCAAGCCCCGCCCCGGCCAAAACAACTACAAAAAAAAAAAGAGAGAGAGAGAGACCCAGCTGAATTCAATATATTTTTACTTTCGAAACCCATCTGAACGTAAGCCTAGATGTTTGCAGCTGGCATTGGCACATGTTTTCTGAAAAGGGCCCTTAACAAATGTGTTCAACTGTGGGGGCCACATGTCCTGCCCACACTCAGCTCTGCCCTACAGCATGAGAGCAGCCTTTGACACAGGTAAACAGGGGCATGGCTGTGTCCTGGCAGAGCTTTACTCATCAGCGCTAACATCCAAATTTCGTGTACTTCTTCCTTTACCAAACATTCTTTTTTTTTTCTGGAACCATTTAAAACTGTAAAACCCATTCCCTGCTTATGGGCTGTATACAAACAGGGAGTGAGCGGAATGGGACCTGCAGGCTACGGTTTGCCAACTTCTGTCTTAGTGAAAATGTCATTAGCCTATTTAAACATCATTAGTCATGCACATGTTCAATTTAGCTGAGTTATAAAACCTTTGCTGTATTTTTCCAAGACTACATCTTGAATGCGTTAACAATACACAAACTTTTCCTGAAAGCTTGAAAGTGAAAAGCTTCCAGTTTTATGGCTGAATTCGGTTTTTCTATCATTTGCATCAGAAAGTCCCAATATATGCTCACTGACTAGGACGGAGGATTCCCAGAGTCTTCTGGGTTTTACAGCTAAAGGACCTTATAAAGCCTCAAGGAAGAACTTACACAGGAAGCGGCCCACAGGCCCAGGGTGCCCATTGGCCAGGGCCTTCCCAGTAACTTCCTCAAGTGAAAACACGCCTGAGCAGAGGTCAGCAGGGGTCTTATTTCCCTCCAAACCTCCACCACCTGAAACCACAGCAACCCACGGTTGAGCCCGTGTGTAATTAATTGTACACTTCCTAGGAGCCCGATGAGAAAAGTAAAATTAGGTAAAATGAAGGCTAGCATTTTATTTAACCCAAACATCCAAAACACTTTTCATTTCAACAAGTCTTCCATATAAAAAACATGTTCATGAGCTGCCGGGAGGGGCCCTCACCCGCTTTACATGCCCATCTGTCATGGGAAAGTCAAGAGAGTGCAGGACCCTGGGAGTGTGAGCCTGGCTGCAAAGCCAGCCAAGACAGGGAACCGAACTCTGAGAAGGTCAATGTTAAAACAGGAAGTTAACTTTTCCAGTGAGATCCTGCCTACTGCCTGCTGCCTAGCAGGGCCTGCCTACTAGAAGCAGGATATAAGCTCCCAAGGAGCCTGGGATCCCTGTGGACAGCAGTCGTTTGTATAAACTTTTAAGACTAAAAAGAAGCATGTCCAGGGTTCTCAGTAGTCATTTCTGAACATGGAATTATGGAAATGTCGATAATCTTTGCAGGCATACGTCAGTATCATTAATTTGTTTATTCCTAAGGGTCATTAACTTAATAAATGCCATTAAATATTTTATGGTTTTTTTTTTAAGTCTTTGCAATCCAAGCATATTTTATGACCACAGCACCTCCAAATGCCCAGTAGTCACGAATGCCCAACACTTTTGCAGAGCTCGCCGCCCCCTTGTCAGGCAGAACAGCACTGGTCTACAGGTCCCCCTATAGGGGCCCATGATGGTCCAAGACTGTCCCATACTCAGTGTCACCTCACAACAGCACCAGGAGAAGCCAGACTTGTGTGGCCTTGGGGAGAGCAGGGGAGGCACTGAGGCTCACGTGCCTGGCCAGGGTTTGGATCCTGAGGAAGTCCCTCATGCTGAGTGATTTCAGTAGGTGGCAAACAGGTGAGAGCCACAGGGATGAAGGGACAGCACCACGACCAGCCCTACCACCCAGTATCTAGACCACCAACGTGGGCTGCACACCTGTTCTCGGTGACATTCCAACCTCCCAGTTTTTCCTGACCTCAGAGACCCGGCGTTCGGTTAGCTCCCTACAGAGGTGAGATGGGGGCATGAAGCCCAAGTCAGAGGCCACTGACTCCTTGGCAAGCCCAGGGTTTCAGTCTCTCTGCTCCTCCCAGACGCCCAGAGCCTCCCTTTTGGGTGGGCCGAACTGGGCAGATGCCCTTCCTAAGTGGGGGGACCGGAAAAGGAGGAGAAGCCAAGTCCCCACGGGAGGAGGTTCTCGGCCTCACTCCGGCCACCCTCACCTGAGGTCGGTCACCCAGTGGCCAGAGGCAGCACCAGGTCGGTGACTTGCACGGACGCCGCCGCTCGCCCCCGAGGCCCGACCCGCGCCCTCCCTCCCTCTCCCCCATTCTCTCCTCCCCCCAGACCTCCTTCCCACCCGCACTCTTGCCCCCCGTTTCCCCGTCCCCTCCCCGCGACCCTCCCGCATTCTGCCGACCCACGCCCGCGCTTACGTCGTCCATGAGCAGGAGCACGATGTTGGGGGACTGTGGGGCGCCCACAGCCCCCAGCCCCACGGAGCTCAACAGCAGCAATAGCAGCCGCCACCTCGTCGCCGGGGCAACCGCCGCCATGGCAACCATGCCCCGGACCGCGGACCAGGGCTTACCGGCCGCTGCTGAGCTGATGGTGCCCAGCGGTTCTCGCCGGCTGCCGGGCCCGGAGCCTGGCGGCACGTGACGGGGCGGGGCCTGCGCTGACAGGGCCGCGGGGCCTGGGCCCGCTGGGAGCGGTGGGCACGGCTTAGGGGCGGGGCCTAGACGTCCGCGTGACCGGCAGTTGGTCATGTGACGTGGGGGCTGGCCGGGCCTCTCAAGATGGCGGTGTGCATCGCGGTGATCGCCAAAGAGGTGCGTACGCGGGCGGCGGCGGGCGCTTGGCCTTCCTGCGGGCCCGCGGCCTCCCCGCCCCCCACGTTGCGCGCCTGTCCGCCTTCCCGGCCCTGCAAGGCTTCTTGAGGAACGGCGGCCCGAAGAGGTCTTCCCAACTCCGCGCTCGCAGGTCCTGCAGGCCGAATGTCACCCCCACCCTGTACCTGCACCCGCCCTGCACTCCTACACCCCAGCCCCGCCCTCAGCAGGTTCTGTCCGTTCCGCGTCCCGGTGCCGCGGCTCCCTGTCCTGTCGCTGCCCTCGCCCGGACAGCTGCCGCAGTGCTGTGTTAAAAACAAGTTGGGCCATGTCTGAAATGTGTCCAGCGGCTTTTTGTCTAGGCCGATGCCTGAATCAGCATGTTTAGGTTCCTCCTCAGTGCCGGTTGCACCTTCCACTCCTGATTCGGTTACTTGCAGGTCGCTGGCCAGGCTCTGCTGTCTGGCCCCTGGGCCTGTGCATTTCGACCCCCCATCCCCCTTTTTGGCCAACATACGTTCATTTCCTCTGGCATTTTCAAGCATTTTTTGAATGCTAAGACGGAGCAGGATGGCTGTTACATGCTCCTACTGCACCCAGCCTCAGTTTCCTATCCAGGGTCTCCCTGGAGATCAGCGCAGTAGACTGCTGTGAATCTTCTCTGGACTTCCCTCTGGGTCACAGCTCCCCATTTGCTCGTTTGCAGTTTATTGACCCAGCATCGTTATGCTCAGTTAGGGTAGGGGCAACTTCACCATAATGAACAGAGTCTTGTTTAGCATCTCTGCGGCAGCCAGTGTCAGGATTGTGGTGTGTGGGAGTCCAGAAAAGAAGCTGCTAACCAGATCCGGGCTTAGGATGGTTAGAAATGCAGGGTGAAGGGGAGTTTGAGCTAAGGATTAGCAAAAAGGTCATCGTCAAGGTGAAGAAATTGCAGCAGGTGGAAGTTTAGGAAACAGCCAGAGTTTATGGTGCCATGCTGAGGAGACTGCACAGAGCTGGAGGTGGACTAAGGCTGAGTGGACTCCAGGAAGGTGTGTGACCTGCGGAGGAGATAGGGTTAGTTGTCAGGCTGTGCTCAAACATGTTCTTCTTAGTTGTCATCTCTGTTCTGCCTCTTTGCAAACATGTAAACCTACTTAGATTGGGGAACTGCCCACAGAAGCGTGGAGAATGAAGTGGTGGGTTCAGAGAATGAGAATGGATGGTGCAGGTAGCTGGCAGAGCCCTCCCTGGCACAAGCTGGGTGGATTCTCATCCTTTCAGTAGCCATCATTCTTTCTTGCAGAATTACCCTCTGTACATTCGCAGTGCTCCCACAGAGAATGAGTTGAAGTTCCACTATATGGTGCACACATCCCTGGACGTGGTGGATGAGAAGATCTCTGCAATGGGGAAGGCATTGGTCGACCAGAGGGAGCTCTACCTGGGCCTGCTCTACCCCACGGAGGACTATAAGGTGTATCTTTCAGCGTCTGGCAGGGATTTTTGGAGACTACACCAACAGATGCAGGGTGTGTGTTAGGGTCAGATAAGCTTGGAATAACATGAAAGGAAAAAAAAGAACAAGAGTATTCCGCCAGCCAGGGAATTAGTGAAGCTTGAAGTTAGTGAAGGCCTCTGACTCTTTTTTTTCTTTCTTTATTTTTTTGAGATAGAGTCTCACTATGTCGTGGTGTCACAGCTCACAGCAACCTCAAACTCTTGGGCTCAAGCAATTCTTTTGCCTCAGCTTCCCTGGTAGCTGGGATTGTAGGCACCCGCCACAATGCCCGGCTATTTTATTGTTGTTGTTGTTTACAGGCCTGAGCCGGTTCAAATCCACCAGCCCCGGTGCATGTGGTTGGCACCCTAACCACTGAACTACGGGGGCTGAGCCTTTTCTCTCCCTTTAATTGGAAGAATAATTTGGGTGAAGCAAGGCATGCATTCCCTGGAGAATGTGGTGGTATATATACCTGTCACTTGTCTGGTTTGTAGAGGACCCGGGGACTTCCCTGCTTTGCCCCTGCAAGGATCTCTTTTTGTGTTTTTCAGAGGGGCTGCCACCTCATCTCGTTATCAGGTCTTGCTTTATAAGTTACTAGAAGCACTTTTCCAGTCCCTTGGGACAAACCGCTTTGAGACCATGGAGTTCAGAGATGGTCCCATGAACAGTAATGTAGTTTGTCACAGTGATGTTTGGTACTGTTAAACAAAAATAAGACGGTCTCTAAGGAGAAGATTTGCTTTATTCCAGAAATTTCTGGCTTTTTTTAATTTCAGATTAATATAAGGGTACAAATGTTTAGGTTACATTGATTTTAATTGTAAGGTAAAGGTCAGGTTTGCCTGGAGGTGGGCTGAACACCCCACACCTTGTGCACGTTAGGTGAGATCCTGCCAGTTGTCCTCCCTCCTGAAATTTCTAGTTTTACAGTTAACGTTCTGGGCCAGGCATTGATTCTGAAAGAGGGTGTGGTATCCCAGGACAGACAGACTCAGGGTCCTGGAGTGTGTGATGGTCCGGGCTTGGTTGGCTTGCAGGCTGCCTGCCCTTTGCTCCTCACAAAAATGTCCAGGTTCGTGCTTTGTGCAGCCGCTGCACAGGCACTCCTGACATTCTAGGTTGTCTTGTTTCTGTGAAGCAAGGGCACCCAGGGCCCTGGGCTCACGTGTTGCAGCCCCAAGTTAGAAGTATGTTCCCTAACCTGCTGTGCAGATACGGCTACGTGACCAACTCCAAGGTGAAGTTCGTCATGGTGGTGGACTCTTCCAATACAGCCCTTCGAGACAATGAAATCCGCAGTGTAAGTGCTGGGGATTAGAAGGTCACACTGAGGGGGCTGGTTTGTCTGTTCCCTTTGTCTTGAAATGCTGAGAAGCCGGGCGGCACCTGTAACTCAGTGGGTAAGATACCAGCCACATACACCGAGGCTGGCAGGTTCAAGCCTGGCCCAGGCCAGGTAAAACAACAATGACAACTGCAGCAAAAAGATAGCTGGGTGTTGTGGTGGGCACCTGTAATCCCATCTACTTGGGAGGCTGAGACAAGAGAATAGCATAAGCCCAAGAGTTTCAGGTTGCTGTGAGCTGTGACACCATGGCACTCTACCAATGGTGACATACAGAGACTCTTGTCTCAAAAAAAAAAAAAAAGAAAAGAAAAATGCTGAGAAGCCAAAAATCTGTACTGTGAGTACATGTTAATTTACCTGTTTCAGATGTTCCGGAAGCTGCATAACTCCTACACAGACGTGATGTGCAACCCCTTCTACAACCCGGGGGACCGCATCCAGTCCAGGTGGGCCCTTCCTTCTGTGCTGTGTGGAATGTAAGGGTGGGAAGGTCTTTTTGAATCATGAGTGGTCCCAATGGCAGTGGTTTAACCTTTGTATAAAAGGAGGGTGTGGGGGGCACAGAGCTTCACATGGTCTTCCAGGTGTGCCCAGTGGGCACCTGCATAGAAGCTCAGGAAAGGAGGAGCCTGAGCACTTAGACAGCATCCTCATGCTGCCACGTCTGTCTATGCTGAACTTGGGTTGAAGGCATCTTCCAAATAGCTGTCAGTGCAGGCAGACTTCCCATCTGAACATCAGAGACACTTCCCACAGAGACTCTGTCCACCAGCACACTCTGCAGACCTGCTTCTGGGGTCCCTGTCCTGAGACCTCTGCCTTTGCAGTGTAGTTATGCTAGCAGTTGTTGGCAGGCAAGGGGACACTGCAGAGACCTGGGCCAGGCCCTTCCCTTGGCAGGGATGCTGTGTGTCTTGGGTCATCCTGCCTCTCAGGTGACAGCAGTCAAGGCTCCCTGCTCACTGCACCCTTGCCTGGGACCCTTCAGGCCTGGACACAGGGAGACCCAGCCAGGGGCCTCAGGAGGCTGCCCAGGGTTAGGAAACAGGTACCCACTGCCCATTGTGGCAGGCTCCCATTCTCGTGTCTCAGCTGAATTTACTTGTCTGGACCCCAGGGAAGGGCCCACCAGTCCTGTGGGCAGCTGGGGGCAGGGCCTGTCCCCTGACTGGTTAGCTGTTCTTACAGGGCCTTTGACAACATGGTGATGTCTATGATGGTACAAGTCTGTTGAGCAGAAGCTTCGCTGCCGGCCATCTCAGGAGCGTCTGCACATCACTAATGTGGAGACATCTGTCATTGCTTCTTCCCTGACGTGATGTACTGCTTGGGGGCAGGATCTCTCACAGTGCATCTCAACTAAAGGTCTTGTGAGATGAAACTTGGCTTTTTCCCTTCTATGTCTGCAGAAGATGTAACTAAGGAGAGTTCAGCTAAAGACCTCTTGGGCATGTGGGCACAGGTTAGGGACCAAAGCCAGCAGGAAGCTGTCCCCACTCAGCAGAAGGGTCAGGACCACCTGGTGCCCAGAGGAACCTGCAGGCAGGGTGACCTCTGGTGTGGTCAGCCCGTACTCCTTCCTCTGCCCTTGCTGTGGCCCCCATCAGCCAGACAGGTACAGAGTTCTGTGGAGGTTGGCCTCTTGAGCCAGGAGCCAGCCTGGGATGTAGGGACCACAGCACTTCATGGGTAAGAACCTTTCTCCTCTGGACTTGGCTTCCATTGTTTGCATCTGACCCATGGTCTGGCCTCCGCCTTGGCCTCAGGAGAAGCCGTCGTGAGATGTGGGAAGCCTCGTGGATCCAGACATCTAGCTGCCTGCTGTGTGCTGCCTGTGTGCAGGAATGAGCAGGTGTGAAGAGCCCCTGCCTGTCTGCCCTGGGAGCAAGGCTGAGGGTGATGAGCTGCCACTGGGTCTCAACCTGCTGGTCCTGACCCCTGTGAAGTCCAGGTGACGACAGGGAGTGCGATGACAGCCCACAGGATCAGGGGAACAACTTGGCTGCGTGGTGACTGCCCAGGGGGTGGCAGAGGTGACAAGGACCACATGTCTCCGGTGCTGTTGGCTTCCTAGAGTTGAGCAACCCAAGACTGGGCCATGGAGGAGACACCCCCAGAGGCCCCCCCCACGGCCTCCCAGAACTGAGTTTCCCCAGGCCCTTCAGGAGGGAGCAGCAGGGGTGCCCTGGGGAACAGGAGGCATCGGTGGGTGAGCCTGGGATGGGGGTGGGCTTTTCTCTCTGTACCTTTGAGTTGTGCTTCTATCCATCGGGCACAATATTAATTTCATAAATTATGGAAGAAGAACAAAGCATGAGGAGTGTGTGTGAGAAAGGCCTGTCCCAGGCCCTGGGTAGGCTTAAAAGGCCAGAGTTAGCTGTAGAAGGCCAGGCAGCTGATCCTGGGCAGGTGCCTGGAGGGGCTCTGCACCTCCCTTCAAAAGGCCTGGCTGCTGATCCCAGGAGCCCTAGGGCAGCCCCACCCACCTCTCTAGCCTGGCATCCTCTGCGTGAGTGGAGGCTGTGCGTTGGCAGCCATTTCTCCCTTCCTATTAACAGAGTTAAGCATTACTCGAGTATATTGATCTCATATATCGACAGGGTAGGAGCCACTTGCTTGCCCTCCCTAGCCCCTGGGTGAGTAGTTAGGCGATATAAATGGAGTCAGGAGAGGCAGGAGAGAGCCTTTAATAGGGGGCTTAGCAGGTGCAGGGAGTACCCTTCACCTTTTGTTCTCTTCATGCCTGGAACTTGGATGTGGTGGCCAGAGCTTAAGACAGCTATCTTGTTTGAGGACAATATTCATACCCTAGGGATGAGGGAGCAGAGAGCAAGGATACTGGGCCTTTGTTGACACCTCAGCTCTGGACTACTCGTGGAAGTTTTTTAATATTAAAAAATAAAATACACTCCTTCCTTGTTCAAGCCACTCATATGGGTTTTATGTTAGGTGTAGCCAGAGCAGTCCAGAGTGCTTGTCACGTGAGGGAGTTTCACAAGCAGTATTATTTTAGACCTCAGAAGGTTATCTGCTTAAAGGTGACATGGCACTGTCACCTGATAATTTCACATATTACTTCCACTATGAGGCTGGCTTCTCACGAGGGCTGCCTCCCCTGACCACTCTGGTGGGCCTTGCTAGCAGCAGCCCTGCCTCTCCTGCCAGACCAAAGGTGAGGGGAGCCCGTTCCTGTTGGCTGCCCACCTGAGACAGTATGTGCTTCCTCTGGACACAGCAGAAATCTCAATCACTGTGACTCAGAGCCCTCACTGTGTGGGGGCCATGCCAAGGGGTGCTCAGTCTCTCTCCATTGTAGCCTGCTGGGCCTCAATCCCTAGGAGAGGAGGGACTCTCCAGACTCACTCTGTCTCCTAGCAGCAGCCGCAGGAGGCTTAAGATGGACAGGAAACAACATCCTAGGTGTATGGGGGTGGCCAAGACGCCACAGGCTTGGCAAGTGCATCAGGATCGCCAGGCCCTCCCCGTGGTCAGGATGCTTGGTGCTTTCATCTGTAGGTGCCACATGTGCGGCAGGAGCAGGTTCTTTCTGCAGCGTCCCAGCTGTGAGTGGCCAGGACAAGGCCCTGCCTGGGGCTGCTTGGCAGCCTGGGCAAAGCCACAACCTCCCCTTCCACTCCCTACCTTCTCATGTGGCCTGGCTGAGGTGAGACGCTGCTGGCCACTCCGATGCTGGGGTTCTGTGGCAACCTCAGGCCCACCCTGCTGCCAGACTCTTTGTTGGCTTTTTTAAGGGACAGTCTTAACTTTGTCGCCCTCAGTAGAGTGCTGTGGCATCACAGCTCCTTCAGCTCCTGGGCTAAGGCGATACTCTTGCCTCAGCCTCCTGAGTAGCCAGGACTATAGGCACCCACCACAATACCCAGCTATTTTTTGTTGTTGTTGCCGTTTGGCTGGGGCTGAACCTGCCACCCTCAGTATATGGGTCAGGTGCCTTACTCACTGAACCTCAGGCGCCACCTGGCATTTTTTCCCCCTATTTGTTGGCCTTTTCCCTCCAGGGTGAATGGCAGGCCTGGGAGCAGACCTTAGTTGGGTCTTGGAGGCTGGTGGCAGCTGCTTGGTCTGGGGAATCCTAACCCTTACAGCAAGACTGTCGGTCTCCTGGGACTTCCCTAACAAGGGCACTGTACATGGGGCTTAAAACAGAACTTTCCCCCCACATTTGGAGGCCCATGAAGGTGTCAACAGGGCTGGTCCCTCTCCCTGGAGGGAGAGTCTGCCCTAGCCCTGTACCAGCTGTGGTGGTTCCAGTGACCTTGGCCTATGTCTTCCTGGTCTCCTCAGGTGTCTCGTGTCCACTGTGTCACTGGACTTAGCACCTACGTAGGTAATCTGGAGTCCTTAATGGATAATGCCTGCAGAGACCTTTACTTCAAATGTGACTCTGTGGCTTATGTCTGTAATCCAGCCCTTGGGAGGCAGAGGCGGGTGGATTGCCTGACCTCACAGGTTTGAGACCAGCCTTGAGCCAGAGCAAGATCTTGCCTCTAAAAATAGCTGGGTGTTGTGGCGGGCACCTGTAGTCCCAGCTGCTTGGGAGGCTGAGGCAAGAGAATTGCTTAAGCCCAAGAGTTTAAGGTTACTGGGAGCTGTGACGCCACAGCACTCTACCAAGGGGGAACAAAGTTTGACTCTGTCTCAAAAAGAAAAAGCAAAAACGTGACAGGTTCACCAGTTCTGGAGATGAGTGTGGGCATGTTTGAGGGGCACCATTTGCCCCTTTACAAAGATCTATAATCCCAAGGTGGGGGGTGTTGAAGATGGCTTGGGAAGGCAAGACCAGTGTGGAGAACCAGGTGCTAGAGGAGGGATTCGGCCAGGCACCTGGGGGGCCCAGTCTAGCTTAAGGAATAAATTGACAGGACGGGACAGGTCTGAGGTGGGACAGCTGCTTTGGAAGCACCAGGAGGGCATTAGCAGTGCTGGGCCAGAACCTGGTACACCTGGGCTTGGGCCCATGGCTTCCTCTCCTGGCTCTGAATGCAGCTGGGTGCAGGCAGGCCCTGTCTTCAGGGAGAGTCTGGGTATAGGGTCCAGTTCCAGACTTCATCAAGGGCCCGGCCTGGACCAGGTGTCGGTCCCTGGTGGGCACATGTGCTTGACAGGAGGGCCAAGGACCACCCCGGGACTAGCAGTGACATCCATGACACAAACACGTCCCCCTGGGCCACCACCTTTGTGGAATCTGCCTGAGAAGGATGCACAGTAAAGCTGTGTCCAAGGAGAATAGAAGGGGGAGGTGTGTTGTGCTTTTAAAAAATATTCAAATTTAATAATTTATGTATTATCATTAAGACACACGTTCCTATTTTTCTTTAAAACAAGTTAGTGAAAATGCCAGTATCCCCTCCCCCCCCACACTGTGCTGTGACCTGTGGCTGTAGCTGTGAGGTCAAGTTGCCACTTGAGGCCCTGGGGGCCAGTCCAGGTCTTTAGGGGCTCACCTCTCTTCTGGCCTCACCCTCTGCCCCTACCCCCAACAAACGGCCCATATAGGACACAGCTGGACACTCCTGGCCCAGCCTCTAGCCTCTCACGATTCAGCGTCCCCTCAGTATGGTGAGAACCAAGGGGAGAACCTTCCACGGGCCCTGCACAAAACACAAGGGGAGGGTGTGCTGTGGGGAGGCTCAGCCCAGAGCTCCAGGTGAGAACTAAAGGCAGAGTGGCCCCCATTGTGCCCAAGGAGAGCCCTGAGGGCCTTCCTGCAGCTTCCAGCCCCCTCTTGGCCATAGCCTCCCCTGCACTTACCAGAAATGCTGCCTGCCAGAGCCTTGGTGGGAATGAGAGGTGCTCTTCTAGGCAGTTTGCACAAAGCCCCCCAAGGTGAGGCAGCCCCACACACAGTTCAGTTCCCTCAGCTGAGTACATGAAGGCAGCGGTGACTGGGGTCGCCACCAGTCCTTGGCTACAGAAGTGCCAGGAAGAGCCTGTGCTAGCCCCAGGCCCTGACTGCATTGGGATCATGCTCAGGCAGCCCCTTCTCTGAAGCTCCAGGCCCTGGGCACCCTTCACCCCCGTGTTGCCCCAGAACCCCACTCACCGGTTCTGCCCACGTGATCTGAACCGGGGCCTGCCCTGGAGGCCACTGCGGGGGAAGGGTGCACCCCTGGTGCCTGGGTGTACCCGCAGGCCCCCACGGTCCGTGGAGCTGATCCCTGGAAAGTTGGTCCTTTTGGGCAGCACCTGGAACCAAAAGGCTGTTCTGGCATCCTGCCCCATGCAATAGCACTCAGCCCTCAGGGCGAAACCTGGGGCAGCAGCTGCCATCAGGAAGCCCTCTTGAGTTTTTCTGTTCTGGCTCACAGGCAGAAGTGCATAGGCCCTGCAGCCCACCAGGGTCTGTGCTGTCTAGACCATGGGTCCCAACCTTCTCAAGATCCCCATTTAGGCCTTAACTGTCCTTCTACCTTCACCTAGATGCAGCCATGGCCATATGACATGCCTGGTCTGTGCCAACATTCACTTGAGAGGGATTCCCCCCATGCCATACCCAGACAAAACCCAGCTCCAGGTCCAGTGCTCCCTGCCACGGCCCTGCCTGGCCCAGCGAGGTGGGGACGCAGGGAGTGAAGGAGTTGGCTGGGGCAGCTCTGTGTCTTCGGGTTGGTGGCCTAATCTCTCTGCTCCTGTGTGCCTGGGCTCCCAGGGACTGAGCATTTGATGGAAGGCCCACTAGTGTAGCAACTCTGGACGCACCTTGATTACCCGGCCTCGGAAGACACTGTCATCCAGCTCCACAGCAGCCTGGGCAGAGCTCTTGGTGGCAAACTCTATGTAGGCGTAGCTGGGAGAGGGGGAGTACAAGGATGTGGGTGAGGGTGCAGCTCAGGGCCTGGGCCAGAATGCCCCACTCCAGCTCCACACTGACCCCTTGGGGTGTCCAGAGAACTTGTCGCACAGGATGGTGACTCGGTGGATCTCCCCACAGCAGTTGAAGTGGGCCTCCAGCTCCTCAGCTGTGCCCCCGTAGTCCACCTGGACAAGGCATGGCACTCAGGGTTTTCTTGGCGAGGGGAGAGTGGAAGAAACCCCAAGACTGGACTCCTGGCCAGGGATGGCCTCAAGGCCAAGGGCATAGTAGGGTGAGTAAGCCGAGGTCGGTGTGCACTCTTACCCCTCTCCCCCAGGGCTCATGTGGCCTGTCAAAGCGTGTGAGGTTTTTTAAGGGCAATTTGTTGCCAACTACTTGCCTGCTGGGAGAGGAGCTCATGTCAAATAGTTGGAAGGTCGGGTGGACTACAGGCCTGGGTTTCCTTGAGGGGACAGTCTGCCTGCCCCCCATCCCAGTGCCAGGGCCCTGCTTGCTCCTCCCTTAAGCATATCTGGCCCTGGAGGTGTCTGAGTTTGCAACCCAGATGCACCTCCCTTCCTTGGACCCTCATGTGAGCCAGGAGGGTGGTCAGTTCCATCCACAGAGAGGGATACCCCTGTGGCCACCAGGCTGGGCACCTGCCCTACTGGGCCCCACCTCACTGCCTCCACTCACGTTCCCCACGTAAATGGATCTGTGGTCAGCCTCCATTTTCTCTTCGGGGTTCCCAGGGAAGGGGCAGCCTGTGGAGGTGCAGCCTTAAGACCAGCAGGTCCCCCGTCTGCAGCCCATTCCTCCACCTCTCAGGTAGCTTGTACCCAGGAGGCCGCCCGGCCCAAGCCTCATGGAAACGCACGCTCTTCCCAGCCAGTCTTTTGCAGAGGAGGGGGGCTCAGAGCTGCCACCCAGGCTGTGTCCAGGGAGGGGTTGTCTGGGCCCCCCAGCTCCTACCTGGTATCTTGGGTCTCAGCATTTGCCCGGCCCTCGTGCCCTCCTCTTCTTGGGCCCTGACTGGCACTCCAGGTAGCTCTGGCTGCTCAGCCTGCTCCATGGCACACAGCTTCAGCCTGATGGCCTCCAGTTCCTGCCAAGGCGGCCCCTGAGCCTGGGCAGACACCTGTAGACTCTCCTCAGGGCAGGAGACCCCCTTCTCTAGATAGGGAGACACTATCCCACAGAGCAAGGGCCCTTCCCTGGGCCAGAGAAGCCACCTGACTCTCCCAACTGCAGGAGTGAGCCTCAGGGCCACTTCTTCCAGGAAGGTAGACTGCAGCCCTCTCCCCTCAGTCAGCTGAAGCTGCCAAATGCGGGGTCTCCGGAGACCACCAGGCTTCTGCTGGGCCCTCTGCGTACCCTACCTGTTCAGGCACTGGGAGTTCGGCCAGGTGTTGCCACTTCACCAGGGACAGCAGGAAGCCTGTGTCCTCATCCTGGTCATCCTCTGCTTCTTCCTCTCTCTTCTCCTTCCCAGCCCCTGGCCCTAGACAGGTCTTTTTGGTGGTCCTCCAGGCCCCCCAGCCCTGGGCCTCAGGGTCTGAGGAGACCGTCTGGAGCCAGGCCTCGGTGGGGGGTGGGAAGAGAGCCCGGCTCAGGAAGGGCCACATGGGCCTGGTGCTGCCCTTCTCTGCCTCACCTGGCCCCTCCCTGGCCCTCCTACGGTTTTAAGCCCCCTCCCCTGGCCAGCTGCTTCCACTAGAGCCTTAAAAAGGCCTTGATAAGGGCTAACCCCTACCCAGTGCAGCCCTGGCCTTCCTCGTGGGCTGTGGGGAGGCAACTCCCATTCTCGGTGGAGGGAGTCACTGGGTGGGGGGGGGAGGCTTCCTGGCATTGGCTCACGAGGGTCTTAGCCCACCCCGTGCCCCTCACCTCGCAACAGCAGGTGCATTTAATCCACAAAGGCCTGATGAGGTATCTGTGTATGCAGAGGCGGGAAGGCAGGCTTTTGGGCATGGGTTCCTGTGGCTGAACTCTGTAGATAGCACCGTGAGACCTGGGGCTTGAGGAAACCCCCCGCCCCCTGTTGCCTGAGTCCTATATCTCCCCTTGTTCCACCCTCCGTCGTCTTCTTCAGTCCCACTGTCCCCTGACTATTCTGCCAGGGTCTCTCTTGCCTTCACCATTGTCCTGAGTGGTGCAACAGGGACCTTCTGGCCTATCTGCCCACCCAGGCCCAAGGCCAGTCTTCTCTGTGACCCCACCTGCAAAGTGAGTACCCGAGGCCCTTACTAGACATTGGCACTTACTAAGTGCCAATCAGTTTGGGAATCTGGGCAGGGAGGAGGAGGAGGAGAGACCTTGTCATGGTCCAGGCTGGAACAGGTGGCCATCCCGCCCACCTTGGGCTAGTGGTGTGGGGAGAACAGAAATGGGGGATCTGGGGGCTGCCATAGCCCTGGGAGGCTGCTGGATCCCTGCATCAGCCCAGTGCCAGCCCTCACTTGATGTACTGAGGAGGAAAGGCCCTCTGGGCAGAATCATACCATCTGGGAGGGATGGGGCTAACCAGGGCTCTTCCTCTCCTTGCTCCCCTCAGCCCACATGTGCCCAGGAGCGCATACTGGGGCACTGTCTCCACTGCACTCTGGGCTGCTGCTTCCAGGAAGCTGCCCAGACTGCCTCTCCTCCCTGGAATGGCTGTTGCACTGGGGTGTCTCTGATTGTCTTGTATCACTGCCCTGGCAAACCAGAGTGCTTAGGGCAGTGTCCATGTCTGTACCAAGGATGGGCTGGTCCAGGGCTGGCTGGTCAAGGTAGGCCAGGCCCTGACCTGTCTGTGGCCTGCTGAGAGTCCTGCCTGGATCCTTCCCTCCACCCCCACATGGGTGTTGGACCCCAGAAAACTGCGGTGGCCAAGGGCCACTGGGCTCTAGCCCGGTCTTGGCCAGCCGCTCTGAGCTCAGACCCTTGCAATGGAAAAACCTCATCATGCCTGAGCTGTCCTGAGGTGGTGACACAGGCCCTGCTGGGGCTCCTGCCAGCCGCCTAGAATGAGGACAGGCTCACCCTACGCCAGCTTTTCCAGTGATGCTTTCCAAAATACAGTGTGTTCCAACCGGCCTTGCGTATTAATAATGGCCCCCTCCTGCGGCCACCAGTGCCCACTCCCAGCATCTGATGCTGAGCCTGTGGGTGAAAACACGCCCTGCCATGCCCCACCTGCAGAGGGACAGGGCATCCCCCAGCCCCATCCACCTAAGGCCTATGTGTTCCCCTCAGGTCCTTCATGTCCCACTCAGGTTCTGTGTGACCCCCTTCCACATGCCCCTCAGAGCTTCCTCACTGTGGGTTTGTCATGAGACTTGGCTACACCACTGACCCTGGACATGCTCTGGCAGTGAGACAGGCCTGGGCAGCCATCAGGGTCACTTCTTAGGCCTGAAGTTGTCTTTACCATCCTTGAGGCCCAGCCCTCAAAGGCCACCCAGCTGCCCAAACTGTAGGAGCCAGTGTGTGGCCCTACCCACGGCACTCCCCTGCCAAGTCTTCTGGCCAGCCCTCTGTGTCACCCCTAGCCCCATGTGACGTGTTTATCCCCCTTGAGGAGGCAGCTGTGAGGAGGGCCTGCCTTTGCTGCCCAGCATTGATCCAGGCCCACCGTGCACCTGCCCAATGGACATGTGACATGAGGCTTAGCAGGTTTCTTGGGACCCAAGGAGAGGCAGAGCCACAAGATAGCAAATGTCTGCTTTATTACACAGATGCGGAGGTAACTGACCATAGCCGTCTTTCAGCATCCTCAGGTCAAGCATACAGTACATCAGAGGTTGGGCAGCCGGTGGACCAACACACCACACCCACACAGAACGGGGACAGTGGAGAGTAGGCTCCTTACAAGGAAAGCCCCACGGCAGGAAAATGACCCAACAATCAGTTCAGCTCCTTTGGAGCAATTAACAAAAACGAAAAAGAGGAGGAAATGGAAGATAAACCCTTTCTCACGAGGCTGTGCATGGCTGTGCCAGGGCCCAGTTCCCCCTCGTCTGACCCCCTCGGCCATCACAGTCACAGCAGGAGAGCAGGTCCCTTGTCCAGGTGGGCAGAAAGGGATGTGGCTGCCTTCAGTGCTCATAGACAGGCGTGCCCCTGAGTGCTGAATCCCTGTCACACAGGGTCTTTGGGGCTGGGCATGGCTTAGCTGGACTGAGATAGGTGCAACAGAGGGTGACAGATGGGGGTTTCCTGGAACTCTGGGGAGCAGTGCAGGGCTGTGACCAGCATTAGACGCCCGGGCCTCATCTGTGAAGCTTTTGTAGGAGCAAATGTTTCCCAGGGGGTGCAGCCTCCTCCAACCCCCTCTCAGATCTGAAGGGCTCAGCTCTGTGCCATTTGGGACCCTGGGAACCAAGAGGGCAGTGGTATGCCCCAAGCACTCCCCAGGAGGAGCAGGGCCCTGGAGGGCTGGTGTCTTACCCTTCTTTCCTGGGGACACCTCCTCCAGGAATGACCCCTGGAGACAAGGAGGCTGAGCGGGGTGGCTGGCCCTGCATGCTGTGGCCATGAGCGCTTACCCTGGTAATCCTGGCCTCAGAACCCGAGCAGGTGTGTGGGCCACCACCCAGAACGCGGTCCTGGCCTCTGGCCCCACTCCCTCCTGCCAGGCCCAGACTGGCTGGAGCTGTTACTAGGCTGTTGGTCCAGTCTGCCCACAGTACCCTCAGTAGCAGGTTGTCCATTCCGGGAAGTGTTCAGAGCAGCCCTGCACCAGGGTGGGCACCGCAGGGGCTACTGTGCCCTTGCGGGCCCCTCCAGCACACAGTCACAGCTAGATGGGATCCAAAGTGTCCTTGCCATTGGTGCATGGAGGCAGCTGGCAACGCTGCCCTGGGTCCAGCAGATGGAAAGGTGGAGGGGGTGAAGGATGGCTGTGTGGGCAGATGGGAGGACACAGATGGGCATGTGTGGGGTGGCATGGCAGTTGGGAGAGAGGCATGAGTGGACAGGTAGGAGAGAGGCAGGTGGTGGCTGATGAATTGGTGAGTCAGTCAGTCACAGCAGGCACACGGCCAGTATGGGGCTGGGACAGATGGTGGGGCCTGCCAAACACTGGGCTTTAGTGTCTGCTGAAGGATCTGTTTGGAAAAACTGGCAAACGGAAGAATCTAGGGCCCATCCTGATCCCTGTACTCTGGGGCCTGAGTGCCCCCCACCCCACAACTCTCCTATCTACCCCCTGCCATTGTACCTCTTGGGGCCCCTGCCACTTGTGCCCACCTGGCCAGACCCTCCCGGCCCTGCTAGGCCTTGGAGACTAGAGGGCAGGAGGGCTGCTGTTTTGCCTGGGGCAGTCCTGGTGGGCAGTGGGGCCAGGGACTGGGGTGTGTCCAGCCTGTGTTGGCATATGGTAAGGAGGCTCTGGCCACTGCCTGCGTTCAGGTCAAAAGCCTGGCCTGGAGAGAGCCCCCAGGTGGGCGGTGGAAAGAATGTCTGTCAGGTGCTGTGGGAATGGAAGGATGGCCGCCTGAGTCCAGGGCAGGCAGGAAGGGCTAGGGTTGCACCAGGGAGCTCTTTCCACAGAGAGCGGCCCAGGCCCAGCATCTGTCCTGCAGTCTCACACTTGCCCGGGCTCCACCTGTCCACTTTGCCCCTCTTTTCTCTTAGCTTTGGCCTCAGAGTAGGAGATAAAGCTGTGGTTTTGGTTTGGAGCTTGGGGAGGAGGTGCCGTGGGCAGCGGGATCCTGCAGAACTTGTGAGGATGGCAGAGCAGGTGGGCCCCAAGCAGGAGGCTGAGACAGGGGTGACGCTCACCTCAAGTGTGGACCCCACTCAGACCCTGTCCAGGTCTCCTCTTTGCCCAGCATGAGAAAGGCAGATGCCCCAAATAGCAGGTCAATGCCACAGACACGTGTGTCCATGTCTACTAGTTAGGCAGGTCCTGATGCAGAAATGCTGCCGGTCCCCCTGCCCCACCCCCAAAGCTAAGCATTCTGTTTGGTTTTGCTGTGAGGTCTTTGGCCAAATGGGGCCTGAGCGTTGTGACTGAAAGGCTGACTCCCAAAGTGTGGAAGGGGCCCAGTGCCCCACTGCCTTCTCCAGACCCACCCTGGGTGAGAGGGGGCTGCCTTGCTTCCATGACCTGGCTCCTTCCTACCCGCCACGACACAGCACACTCCAGGACACCAGCTTCAGTTTCCCCACAGCAAATCTCCACTCCCTCTCATGCCAGCCTGATTCTGTGACGTCGTCAGCTGCCGGGCTCTGGGTCCTGTTGTTGGTCTTCATGGTGGTTGGGGGCAGGCGCCTTGGGCAGACGGCACTTAATAGTTGGCTTGGTGGTCATCTGCTTTTGTCACCTTGTGGTCCAGCTCCAGAAGCTTGTCTGGCCAGATACTGCCAGCTCGCAAACAGGCCACTGTCCTCGCCCCCCAGAGGGAACAGGTGAGAGCTGAGGGAGAAGGGAAGGCCTTTCCCCTGCAAAGCAAGTGTAAGTCTCCCCGATCTGCCCCTCAAACAAGTATCTCAACCCTGGCATCAAGGATTTGAGTTACCAGGGAGGCTGCCTGGGGATCCCCTCACTCAGGGCCAGGTGCTCTCCAGAGACCACTGGTCACCAGCACAGCCTGGCTGGGCTACACAAACTCTGAGAGCCTGACTTCTCTGTGGGGCCAGTCACTTGGGGTGGCCTGTGGTCACCATCCTGTGCCCAAGAAGGGCACAGGGGTCTTGTAGGAACAAGTCAGAGCACCTTGGAAGGGACAAGGTGAGAGGAGAACGCCGACCTCTGGGGCAGGCAGTCTGCGGGTCAGGTATGTCCACACCTCTGTGGTCCAGGCTCAGCGCTGCAGAAATAGGCGGCCTCCCGTGCCTCTTGAGAGCCACAGTCCCAAAATGGTCCTTGCTTCTCTGGAACCCACAAAGGCAAACCTCAGGGAACTTGGCCACTGCATCCAGGGGCAGCTGGGGTGCCGGGATGGGAGCTCCTGCGAGGATCAGGGATCCACCTTGGCTTCGGTCAACAGACTTGGTTCCTGGTGAGGGGCGACCTGATTGGATCCTTCCTTGTGATGCTTAATGAAGTTTTACAACTGTGAAAAAAATAACCACCAAACCAACTACCGCTCCCCACAGGACCACAGTTCAAATCTCTTTGAAAATCTATCTCCTAAACTTTACATACTTCCGCGGCTTCTCTCTTTTTTAATTTGGCAAACATCTCCTTTATTATCATCACCGTGAAAATCATTATTTGGACCTCTGTGCAGACTATATACATTCACATTAACACGCACCACTGGCTCCCTGCCTCTGCAGGGCCTCCGGGCCAGTTCAGTAGCTGGTCAGTCATATTGCACACGTGCCCTTGAGCTTCCACATGCACAGAAGCACCAGCCTGCGGCTGCGTCTGTCTGCTCATCCATCTGTTCAGTACAAGTGTGAACTTCCTTATCCCTCTATTTCCTCCTCAAAGTGTTAAGGGAGTTGGGTGGAAGGATGGAGGGTAGGCAGGGCTGGGGCACGGTGGGGAGAACATGGGAGGGAAGGTGTTGCCAGAAACTCTGGGAGTGGAGGTGACTTCTGGGAGGGCACCTGACAAACGGCAAGGACTGTGCATGCCCACTGGCCTTCGCCATCTGGAGACGGCTATTTGTACTTTTGTTTTTCTCCAAAAGTTCGGAGTGGCTGCAGTGAGACATGGGAGTTGGGTGGTGAGGGTGAGGCCGGGCAGGAGCTGGAGAAAGAGGTAGAGGAGGAAAAGGAGAAGCTGAGTTTTCAGATGCAGTCACCAGCTCCTCCTGCCTTGGGAAGCACTGAAGAATCAGCCCGAAAGATTGTCACAGTTTTGTCTCGGAATTGTGCTCTCTCTGGGAGGAAAATGTTAGCACTTTTTTTTTTTTTCCACAAGTGGACAAATGACACATGAAAAATCACAGAGGGCATGAGGACATACGGGAGTGTCTTCCCTATACACATGTGGACACGCAGGCACACGGCGTGATGCGGCCAACTTGCCAAAAGGAAACAAAAGTTGCTTCTCGTTGGGTATAGACCTTCTGGACTCCAATATCCCGACACCCCACAGGCAAAATCAGAACAAAAATAAAAGGACATCCAGATAACCCAACAGCTGAGTACAACAGGGGAAGAAAGACTTTGGCAGTGACAAAAAAATTTGGATCTTGATTTCTTATGTCTGCTTTTTGGATCTTCCTTGGAACAGAGGTGTGTCCGGTATCCTTGGCTGGCTAGCTAGCAAGGTAGTTTACAGGTATGCTTCCTTTGCTTTTCTTAGGAAAACATTTTTGGATTTTTACTTAAAGCCAAAGAGTTTAACATTAAAGGAAAAAGAAAATCTGAAACCCAAAATGCTTCTCAAGTTGGAAACTGAAATCTCTTTCTGTCTTCGCTGCACCAGCCAAACACCCCTGGGGGGGGTCTGAGTGAAGCAGCGGTGTTCGGGTCTCCGGCGATAAAATAACAGTTTTCTTTTTCCCTTTTTAATTGGGAAGGGGGAAAACCCCCACAGTTGTCTTTGTCCATTTATCTGAGTAGTTCTTTTGCCAACAAAACAAAGCCCCCCAAAATTCTTTGTTGAAAATATAAGCCATCAGTTAAGATTTTTTTCCCTTAAAGAGAAAATCTGTGAAAGTCATAAAGGTAGAAAAATGAGAGAGAAGAGGAGAAAGAGAGAGGGGGGCAGAGCCAACGTGCCTGTGGCATCCACTCTGCTGTCTAAAGCTCAGTTGGAGGTTTCCGAGGGTGCTCTTGAAGAGGGAGGTTGTCAGGAGGTTGTCACGTGAATCGTCAGGTAGCTGAGAAATTGCATTGAATGCAGTTTTTGTTGGTTTTGTGTTTTCTTTTGGAGAGAGGCAGTAGCAGCAGCGACTCCAGTCAGCTGGCTCCCCAGGGCTGGCTGGGGTATAGCGTCCAGCAGGCTGGGGGCTGGGAGGGGTCAGCGGGGCACGGTGTCCAGTGGGCCGGGGGAGCCAGGGCGGGAGGGCCCTGCAGAGCCAGCCTCGCTGGGGCTGGTAGCACCCACAGGCAGGGAGGGGCCCAAGCTACTGGTGGCATCAGGCTGACTGGGCACAGGGTCGACCACCACAGCTGCAGGGCCCTGCAGGCTCTGGCCGCACACGTGGTGGTGCTTCTCCCAGTCCTTGTGCTGGCAAAAGGACCCACAGTAGCGCGCCGCGTTGCAGCCGCTGCAGGTCTCGCTGGCCTTGCGCCCACAGTTCCAGCAGCTCTGGAGGGGGCAGGTGGGGTGGTCAGAGGTAAGCCAGAGCTGGACAAATCCCCAAAATATACCCCAGACAAAACCACTCAGAGCCAGCCACGCTGTCCCCCGACGAGAGGAGAAAACCCCAAGTGCCATAGGTCCCTCACTACGGACACTACCACTCACTGGGCCATTTCTGAGGGACAGCCGTCATGCCCACTTCTCAGGGCTCCAGCCCACCCAGGTGAGTGTGTTCTGTGCTGGCTGGACCTCAGCCCCTTCTTTTCCTGGAAGCCTTCTCGAGCTCACCAGGGCTGCAAGTTCGGAAGGGGGCAGGCCTGGCAGAGCTGAGCCTGTTAAGAAGCCACCCTCCCCTCTGCCAGGCTTTGGCCCTAGCAGTAGAATAAGAGTTTGCCGAGGTCACCCACATGAGCAGAAGGTGGTCAGGGACACCCGTGCAGAGCCCAAGGCACCCAGATGGCTGGGGCCAAGTGTAATAGCCTATTCCCTCTGGGGCCCAGATGGGGCTCCAAGTCAGCAGCCTGGCTGTGGGATGGAGAAACCCAAACCTAGCCCAGGAGTAAGAGACCAACTCCCTGGTTTGACCCTGTAGCCTCCTGCTTGGCCAGGGCTTTGGCTGCTACAGCCAGTCTTGCCTCCGTGCTGGTCCCTCCTCAGGGCCTGCTCCCTGTCACCCGGGGTGACCCCAGGCTGTGCTGGACACTGGGCAGGAGTGACCAGGTAGCCCTACCTCACTGGAATCCTCCTGCTGGTTGATGACCGTCAGGGCATCCTCCGAGGCCTGCCGCCTGGCCTCGGCCAGGGCCCGCTCCATCTTGGCCCGCTCTGTAGAGATGAGCTCGTGGGCTTTGCGCTCCGCGTCCGACACAGCTCTCTGTAGCTCAGACACGGCCTGGCGCTTCACCTCATTTACTGCCTCCTCTGCAAGGGACATGGTGGGGCTGGTGGTCACACGGGATGGCCCAGACAGGTATAGGGGCCTCCTTGATCTCCATCTGGGGCAGAGGCTGCGTGCAGCTATGTGCACATCCAGGCACACACCAGGGCCTCAGCCTGTGCAGGCAGCTGCATGAGTGAACACGTGTCCTGGGCTCATGTGTGTGGATACAGACAGGAGAGGGAACCACATGCAGCAACATTCCCAGAGGGGTGCCCTATACCAAAGCAACGCTCAAACTCTAGCCCACACTGGTACCATGGAGGGCAAGTATTAGGGGAAGGAGGGAAGCAGGGAAGACCAGGCACCCTGTGTCCTGGGAACCTACATTCCTAACATGTTTGGGGGAGGCTACGGTCAGTCCTGGATCCAACTCTGAGAACCACAGCCCCCAGCTTTGCCTTTGCCCCTGGCCTCTCCCAGAAGTAGCCAGGAAGCCCCTGACTGGGCTCTGTGCTGTCACCCCAGGGCCCACCCTGTCATCTCCACTGCACTCTGCCTGTCCACCAAGCTCCTGACACTGTCCAGTGGCTCTGACCTGGGCCAAGGCGGAGTGGAAGTCCTGCCCCAGCCATAGGAGAGGCTTCATCCCCACTGGCCAACAGACTCTGAGGTCTCCTGGGCACCTGCACCCCCCCACCCAGCCCTGCCGAGAGCCAGGAGGCAGGACTGAGGTGAGGCCAAGGGCCCACCTGGCATCTAAATCTGACTGAACTGTGCCTTCTGACACTGTGAACACCTCAGCCCCACGGGCCCCTTCTGAGCTATCCCCCTGGAGCCTCAGGCCTGCCTTGGTTTGCCTATTTGTGTCCTTGCAGTATGGTATATGAACTGGCTCTGGTCAGCATGGGATTAGACAGGGTCCTGAACTCAAGGGGCTGAGATAGCCCCTGAGCCTTCCTATCCAGGTGTTTGGATGCTGGGAGTGTGGGGAGCTGCTGGCAGGGCTGGTTGAAGCCTCATGACCTGGCAGCAGCTGATATGCTGGCCCAATGTCACTGCCCTGACTCCTGGTAGAAGCCAGCAGAGGTCCATGTAGGTCCTGCCACAGGGCCAGATGGAGGGAAGGGGGTAGGCCAGGCCTGCAGTGAGGGCCTCCACCCTTCTATGCAGGCTAGGGGTCCAAGCCTGTCCCCACTCCCAGCCCTATCTGTTTACAGCCCCTGCAGTGAGGTCTCTTCTCTTCCTCAGTTGAATCCACCTGCAGATCAAAAGCTACTGGGTGGTGCCTCCTCTCTCTCCAGCCCACCCCATGCAGTGCTGTCTCCCTCACTTGCCACAGGTCCCACTTGGCTCAGCTCCTCCTGCCAAGCCTGGTCCCCCTGGTTCAAGCCAATGTCCCTTCAGCCTTCCCCCAGCACCAGAGCTCAACACTCTGCCCTGAAGGGCGCGTGGACTCCGGCCCACGTCCACACGCATTTGAGTGTCTGTGCCTTTCTGTGCACACCAGTGGGAACCCGCCGTACTCTGTAGAGCAGGCACACCACCTCACGCATTTCTTGTTAGATGCTGAGTCACAGTCATCCAGCCTGAATAGTAAATGCTGCCTTTACCCCTCTGGCAGCCCTCATTGGCAGGATGACTGATGCCCTGTTAGCTCTGCCACATGCTAAGAGCCCAGCCAAGCCCCCCACCAGGTGTGGTCCTGGATCCCCCAGCTCTACTTCCTGGGCCCATCCCCACTCACCAGCCTTCCTCCAGATATCCTCAGGCATGTAGCCAGGGAGGGTCCTTGGCATGAACTCCCTGGGGACATCTGAAATATAGGAGCTGGTGTCATGTGCAGGGCAGGGCCATCTGGCTGCTTTCTATGCTGGGGGCTCCTTGCACCCTGGCTGGGCCCTGAACATAGGGCATGAGTGTGCTTGCATGGATGAGGGGTCACCAGGTGCCCTAGTAGGGATCCTTCACCTGTCTCCAAGGCAGGGCTGGAGAGTACTCAGTGAGGTGACACACTGGGGCTGCAGACCTTGGACTCCACTGAGAGCAGAGCATATCCTGGGCCCCTTCTGTTTTCTCATCCTCAAGGGGGATGAACAGAGACCCTTGGTGGGGGGGGGCCCTTAGCTCTAAGCCTCTGGCCAACCAGCCCCCTGAGCTCCAGGCCAAGTGGTGTCTTTGTGAAAACTGGAAAAGGTGCCTCATTTTCAAGCTTTGATTTGGGTTTTATGGAGGTATCAGCCTCATCCCTGCCCAGGCCCTCGCCCCTCCTCGGTGCACACCTAGCTGAGACCCCTCAGGGCCGGTGGAGCTGCCAAGGGGCCGAACGGCAGCAGACCCAGGGCCCTTCTTCACGTCCTCGGTGTCGCTGCAGCGCCGGGCCCAGTGGTTGAGCTCCTCGCGGTCAGCCTCCTGGCACCGGCGCAGCACGGTGAGTGACCTGCGCGTCTTCTCTACCATGTCCATGATGCAGTTCAGGAGCTGTGGGCAGGCAAGTGGCCTTCAGCCCCATGGGGGCAAGTATGCTGCAGGCGGCCCTGTGCTGCCAGCTCAGCTGGAGCCCGACTCCCAGGGCCTCAACCAGCTCAGTATCCATGAGGTCAAGGGCTGTACACCATTCCCCTGCCCAGAAAGACAGCAGAGCAGGACCAGCCTGGGCCCCCAGCATTCGTGGGCATGAGAGTCCCATGGGAACCAAACTTGGGCATGGGCTGGAGATTGGGCTGTCCCAAGGACCCCATTTGCCGCCTTGCTATCCTCTCCAAAGGCAGCTGGAGGAGGAAGGATGCTGATGCTGATGTGGGAAGGGAGCCCAACCCTTGCTTAGTGCCCCTCCTGGGGAGCTGCAGGGCCAGCTTCTAGGGGCACATCAGGATGAGCCCACTCATCCCCAAACCAAGCACTCAGGTGTCCTGCTGCAAGGAGACCCCAGAACCGCTTTGCCTCAAACCTCTTGCAAGACTCAGCTATACTCTGGGAAGAGCTGTTGATAGCAGGTGCCCAGGTCAAGGGCTGCCCTGGTAAAGAGCCCCATGCAGCCCTCCTGCCCCCAGCAGCCCGAGGCCCCATGGTGGGGCAGAACCCCCGGGAGAAGCTGCAGCATCCTTGGCTCCTGCGGGGATACTCACGTTGTTGAGGTGGTTCCACTCTTCGGCCCACTCACGCTCTGTGAGCCTGTGGTCAATCACTTCCTCCTGCCGAGACCCAGGCACTGCTGCAGAAGGAGTAGTAAGTTTAGGCTTTGCTCACACCCCGGGAGGCTCCTCATTGTCTCCCCTCCCACCCCAGGCTCTGCCCTGGTCTCCCAGGCTCCTCTTACACTCAAGCCCCCATCTGCACTCTCAGGCCCCACCCACACCCCAGGCTCCTACACATCCCTCAAAGCCCAGATCACAGGGCCCCTCCTCCTCAGAAGCCCAGAGTCCTCAGAATTCCCGAGTCCTGTTTGTCCCTGGTTGTTCTGTAATTGTAGGTGCTTCCTTGTTTACTCTGGTTCTTCTTCTTCTTCTTCTTTTTTTTTTTTTGAGACAGAGCCTGAAGCTGTCCCCCTGGGTAGAGTGCCATGGCATTACAGCTCACAGCAACCTCCAACTCCTGGGCTCAAGCGAGTCTCTTGCCTCAGCCTCCCAAGTAGCTGGGACCACAGGCGCCCGCCACAACACCCGGCTATTTTTTGGTTGCAGCCGTCATTGTTGTTTGGCGGGTCCAGGCTGGGGATCTGAACCCGCCACCTTAGGTGTACGTGGCTGGCACCTTAGCCGGTTGAGCTATAGGCGCCGAGCCCGTTTACTCTTGTTCTCTCAGTAGGCTGTGTCCACTCCACAGGGGAGGGTGAGGTGTCCCTTTTGCCTCTGTGTCCTCAGGGTGAGCTCTGGACTGCCAAGAGGCGGTGCCCAGGCTCATCTGCTGCTGCTGGAGTGGCCAGTCCACAAGTAGCTTCTGGCCATGCCACCAGCTCCCAAGTGGGCTCAGACAGGGACAGAGTAGAGATAGACAAGCATTCCCCAGGGGACCCTGGGCCCTCATCTCACTGCTCTGTGCCTCAGTTTCCCTGCCCTGCTTACCTCTCAGGGGTGTGAAAAGACTTCCAGGGTCATAGGCACAAGAGGCATGTAGGGGAAGAGTCTGGGCTGATTTAGGGAACTTGGAGGAACCTGTGAGTGACAGGCTGGCACCGGCGCTTTACCTCCTCTGTGCCTTAGCCCCGAGGGAACTTCTCTTCCTGTTCCCACTTTACAGATTAGGAGCACGAGGCTGGTTAGGGTCAGTCACCATGCTGGGAGTGAAGGAGGCAGGTGTGGGCCCAGGTTGGCTTGAGATGGGGCTGTGTCCTCAGCCCAGGCCGGTTACACTGGCCCAACCACCCTAGACTTGGCCTCAGGACACCTCCAGGCTGAGTCCTTTCATAAGAAACTGCAGCCTGATCTCGTGGTGGGCTTGCTGAGAGTCCGGCCGGGGAGGGTGCCCTCCTAACACACAGCTGCTCTCTGCCGATCACGAGACTGGCAGCCGATGGACTCAGACTAGGCAGATGCCTCACTGGCCTGTTGGCTGCCGTGCACCGCACTCCACGTCTGCCCAGACAGTGCCTGACCATGCTGCAGGACAGCGCTTGGGCCTTGCCCTGGGTCTGAGGACTGCTCGATTTGAGAGTTCTCAGCTCAAAGTCTGTTGATTTTACTTTTCTAAGGTTTTCCCTTTAATAGGCTCAGGAATTGAAATGAGGGGGGGGCTGGTAATTGGAAACTGAGCTGTGGGACATGTCCAGCCACATGCCCACCGCCTGTGGTGTCCTGTCCTGTGGCTTTTTGAAACATCAACTGTTCCCAGCACCCACCCGGCCATGGTACCCTGTGCTGGTGACCTGGCACCAGCTTCCCGGGGCTGAGGTCTCTGTGTTTAGTCCTCTTCAGGCCCTAAGGCTCTCCTAGTCCCCAAATCCAAAATGGCTCCCTCAAATTGTAGAAGGGGAGGGTAGATGGCGGCCACAGCTCACTGCCCACTGCCCTGCCCTGCTGCCTACAGAACTGTGCCTGCACCAAGGCCTCAACCAAAATAGTAGCTGAGGTCTGCCAACAGCTGGCGTTTATTTTTGCATTAGCAGGAGCGGGTGGGAATTATCACCTGCCTGACCCCACTGCAGCTAGCCAGACACCATCACCAGCTGCCTGGGCCCTGGAAGCTTCCACAGGGTGGGGGTGGAGAGACAGGCTTGTTCAGGGCAAGGCCTCTGCTGACCCTGCCGTCTGGCCCCCATCAGTGGCCTCTGGGCTCTGCCTCCCAGTCCACATACATGGGGGGCTCTGGGGTGGAGGCTGGGCCTGACTACCTCCTGCTCCCCAGCACAGAGGAGGGTCAGAAGGTCAGGCAAATGTGGCTAAGGGGCTCTGGGCACATCACTTGTGCTCTCTGGGCCTCAGTGTCCGCATCTGAGATATAGGTGCACTGTCCTACTCTTACTGATCGCAGCGGGGCCTCATGGGGCACTAACTGCCCCAGTCTTCACACAAACCTAAGGAGAAGGAACCGTGCTCAGTGACATAGCAGAGGAGGAAACTGAGGCACAGAGGGCCATGTGACGACCTGAGGTGCAATACAGAGATTCACCAAGCTCAGATGGGAATCCAGCGGTCAGCTCCAGGCCCAGGGCCACCAATCTAGGTGGAAAGGTAGTGCCAGGACCCCAGAACAGGCTTCTTTGTAGCCACAGCATAGTCACCCTGGGGAAGGAGCCCCCTGGCCCCAAGGTGTACCAGGTGGGATGTCAGGCTGCCCTTAGAGGCTCTGGGACATGGCCTAGCCAGGCAGGGATCCCTCGCCCATCCCTTTAGCTTCCTTTGGGACAGATAAGATCAGATGGCAGTACCAGGACATCTCCCCAGTTCAGATGCACACAGCTACTGGTGGTGCACCCACCAAACACACTGGGGGACACACCCACTCCTGCTAACACATACGTGTCCAGGTGCCCGCCCCACGCTCTGCTCACCAAGGTGCCGATGGCGCTCCCGCAGCTCCCGGAGGTCAGGGGGGCGGTAGGGGTCACGGAAGTGGTGGGCCACAGCCATGTCCTCGAGACGGTAGTGCGGGGGTGGGGTGGGGTGGGGCACCCCATTGCTGGGGCTGAAGCGCGGGGCAGGGCTCAGAGTGCATGGCCGCTTGCTGAGGTGCTCGGGGAGCAGCAGGTCACGGTCCGACCCATTCTCTTTGGTCCTACCCCAAAGAGCAGGTGGAGGGGGCAGTGGGTATGTGACCACAAGCCAAGACAGAGGTCCAGGCATAGGTGAGGGAGACAGGCATGGGCAGAGAGAAGGAGAAGCATAAGGGGACAGACGCAGAGAGTCAGACCAGCTTCCTGGGTACCCACCCTGCTCCCCTTCCTGCTTCTGAGGCCCAATGGTTATGAGGCCTGACCCTCTGTGGCAGGACCAGGCAGAGGGAGATGTGCATCCACCCCTCGGACAGCAGCAGGACAAGTGTGTCTGTGGCCATGAGAGAGGGACCTGCCTGGAGACCTGGACTCCTGGGCACTTAGGGCCTATGTCTCACACAGAAGAGTTTCTGCCAGACAGACACCTCCTGGCTCTTCCCTGCCCTCTTGGGACTCCAGGGCAATGAGTCTGCAGCCCACAAGGAGGCTGCTTGTACATGGTCTGAGCAGCAGCCCTGCAGGCTGGCCTGATCCACAGCACCCCAGTGTGCCTGCCAATACGGGGGACGGTCTCCACTCGTTTCCTCAGGCCCTGGGAAGGCTGGTCTAGCTGAAGGGAGGCCCCAGAGCAGGGAGGGGACTGTCCAGGGTGCCTATGGATACCTGTCAGGCGTCCTCCTCTTGCCATTCTCATTCACTTCCAGCAGGAGGTCTGAAGAGTCAGTGGGGGAGGCAGCATTGGCGTCCAGCAGGAGCTGCTCATGTTGGGCCAGGTACTGGGCAGGGGTCTGCTTGGCCAGACGGGCACAGTGCAGGAGCTCCCGCTGCAGCAGGGGCAGGTTTGCCTGCGGGGAGGGCAAGGAGGCTGGGCAGTGTGCAGGGTCCACTGCCCCTCTCAGGCCCCCGAGTGATTATATGCCAGTGACACCACCTCCACCACCCCACTTGGGCCCTGAGTGACTCTGTGCTGGTGACACCACCTCCACCACCCTGCTTGGGCCCTGAGTGACTGCATGGCCAACACCATCTCCACCAGTGAGTGACTGTGCCGGTGACACCACCTCCACCACCCTGCTTGGGCCCTGAGTGACTGCATGGCCAATACCATCTCCACCAGTGAGTGACTGTGCCGGTGACACCATCTCCACTGCCCTGCTTGGGCCCTGAGTGACTACATGGCCAACACCATCTCCACCAGTGAGTGACTGTACCGGTGACACCATATCCATTGCCCCACTCGGGTCCCGAATTACTCTGCACGTCTGACACTATCTCCACCACCAAGTGACTCTGTGCTGGTGAAACTGCCTCCACACTGAGTAACTATGCTGATGACCATCTCTCTGGGCCTCCAGCCCTTTGACTCTGACCTTCCTCATAGCCGAGGGCATGTAGCAATCTGAGTTGCAGTGAACTCAAATTCTGGTCTCCCAGGCTGGAGCTTCTGCACGTCCCCAGGTCCCCCAGTGGTGCTATCTAGAGTAGGTGAGGGGAATGGTGGTGGGAAGGTGCCAACTAGTCTTCCCCCCACACCCAGCCAATGTAGGCACGATACTGTCCAGAGCACAGAGGAGGACACTGAGGCTCAGAGAGGGGTAGCAAGCAGCTGCAGACACACAGCCAACTGCACAAATGAGCTGGGTGTGGAACCTGAGTGTGGCCACTTGTAGGGCCCTCTGCTCTGGACACTGACGTGCACTGATGGGAACCCAGGGTTGGCTCTACCCTATCCACTTGCTGCTCAGTGAAGCTGGCGGTTAGCATGTAAATGTCAGTGCACTCTGTGGCCTGTGCCATGCTGAGCACATGGCAAGTTACCACCAGCAGTGACATTGTGACTTGGCCCTGTGTTTATGGGTCTGGGCACCACAGCATGGGGCTCAGTGACTGCATGTGCGGACACCACCCTGACACCTGTGCTTAGCCCCTGTGTCCACCTGCCTCCCACCTGGTTTGGAGCCTCCTGGCATGCACCGCTGAGCTCCTCACGCATCTTCCACAAAGTCTTCCCAGAGCCACTGAGGGGTGAGCAGGCTGGGCCCCAAGCACACACTGGACGCAGACCGGGGAGAGCCAGCATTTCCCAAGTATTTGTAAATAAATACAACCCCCAACATTCTCATGCATTTCAAAGCTGCCGTGGCAGTCTTCTCCCACCAATCCTCCCCAGCCGCCATGCACGCAACCACGTGGGCATATCAACAGCCTGTGTTCCCATCAAGTAGTGAGGTTGCAGCCTGTTTCCTATCTGGACAGCTGGACAGGGGCCAACCACCATCTGTCAAACATGTTAGGGGCGTGAGCTAGGAAGCAAGGTCCCAGGAGATTGGAGGAGCCAAACATTCTCCCCACTCCCCAGGGCCTCCCCTTGACCAGGCAGGCACTGATGGTCATTGTCAGGGCACTAAAAACATCTGGATTCCTGGTCAGTTCAGGCCAGCTGGGAGCTGGGGTTGTGGGGGGAGGGCTGACAAGTGGGGTGGCTTCTCCTAGCCTCTGGAAAGCCCCACCATTCTGCCATGCCTGGGGTAGGCTTTAGAGGCTGCAGGGATCAGACTAGGCAGCCCCAGCCATATGGCCTGGACGTACAGGGGCCCTGACTGCCGGGGGGTGGGGGTAGGGCTCACTCAGTCCAGAGAGTGGGAGGGGATGGGGCTACCCCACTTTGAGCAGCCCCCTCTGTCCTCAGGAGCCCAGGGTGCCCTAGGAGGTGTCGCCCCTAAAATGCTAGAGCCCAGCTCTATTGCCTGACCTGCCCTCTTCACAGATGAGACCTCAGGCTAAGGGAAAATTCATATTTGCAAAAACAAAGATGGCATTAGCTGAGCCATGGGGGTCTCTGGCCCTCCTGCCACTCTGCTAGGCACCTGGTCATGGGCTCTGTGGATGCTGCATGGCCGTGGCCAGCTCATTGGCCTTTCTGGTTCTGCTTTGTCTGCAGATCAGAGCTGTGGAAGCCCTGTGGGCTCAGGGAGTTCTGTGTGGGTTGACCCAGCCGGCGGGGGCCTCACCCTACTTGAGGGGGCCCCAAGTCAGGGCAGGGCTTGAGTCAAGCAGGTCCCCAGCTGCACTCTCAGCCATGGTTCATGCCTTTTCCAGGACAACATGGGTGAGAGCTGCTACAAAGATGCTCCCCAGTGGATATGGTGGGCAGTGAATGTTCAGGAAGGCACCATAGAAGGAATCCTGAGGCCACTCCCACCAGGTCCCTGTGTCCAGCCTCGTCAGACTAGCTGCTTCTGTGGCAGCTGTGGCCCTGTCTGGTAAGGGATGCTCTGTTCCCAGGACCGTGGGGCAGGGCTCTGACTCACACTTGGTCAACAAGCCCTGGAGGTAGGACTGGCTGCAGTGCTGTTCATTTTTACTTTTTACTTCTGAGTCCTCCTGGCTTTGCTCTGAAACTCCTGCCAGGAAGAGGCAGAGACCTCTTGTCCCTGTCCACCCTGCTAGCCCTGTAGCCGAGCTGGGCTCTAAGGCAACCCTCCTCAAGCTGATTTTTTAGCCCTGTGAGAGCTCTGTGCACAGAGGGGAGACTGAGGCAGAGAGGGCCCTCCACAAAGCAGTGCTGGGCAGTGGTTGTCCTGCCTGGTGCCCGTGGTGGGTGGTAACATGGTGGGATGTGGTTTGGAAGTCACTGGGGACCTGCTGGGCATCACAGCAGGGGGTAAAGGCCTGGTGGGGCAGGTATGGAGGGCATCCTGATGTCTCCTAGGTAAACAAGAGCCACTGATGCCACCAAGGCACCTCCTGCAAACATCCGATCTGACAGAAAGGCCGGTCCTCCAGCTCCAAAGGTGGGTGCTGGAAGTGGTGGAGTCAGCAGGGAGCTGAAAGAAGGAAGTGCAAGGGGCCAGGGAAGGCCAGGAGGGTGGCTGCCTGCCTCCTCACCAGCCCTGCCTCTTCTGTGGCAGCTCAGAAGTGGGGTGTGACGTGGGTGCCCTGGGTGGTGGGTGTCCGGCCAAGGTCGTGGGCTCCAGTGAGGGACAGATGCAGGTATGAGCCCAGCCCCATCTGACCCTCAGTGGGGCCCTCAGTCTCCCTACCTGCTAATCAGGAACAATGGTAGTGCCTTGGCTGCCCCCTTCACTGGAGTGCAAAGCAACTTTCTGAAGTGTTCCTGCTCTGAGGAACATTTAAAGCCCTGGCTGTCGATGACGCGTGACATACCCCACGTGTGCCCGTTCTTCTCCTGCCTCATGCAGACTTCCCGAGACCTGAGACTCATCCCCATTTTGCAGATGCAGAAAACAAAGCACAGAGGAACTCATGAGGCCCTGGCCAGTGGCTGCCCAGTGGCAGTGTTAGGCTCCCATCTGAAGAGTGTTTGGTTTGGTCTGTCCTCAAGGTCCCCTGAAGGCATGTGCAGGGAGCCTGGCCACCTGCCAGCTGGCCTTGGCTACAGGAGGTGGGTGGTGCCCAGCGTGGGCCCACGGGTGCAGACAGACCAGCTCATCCCAGTTACCCCATGAGCCCCGACCTTGGGAGGTACTCAGCAGAAAGAGGGTCATGTGGCCAAACACACATGCAAGCATCTCACCCTCATCCCTCAGAGATGTGCCACTGCCATGGGGGAATAGAGGACACAGTGACCACCATGCTGGCTTGACACCCCATGGGCTATGCTGTTCCATGTGCACCGGACTCACCAGCATCTTTTAAAGTGCAGATTCCACATTGGTGGGTTCATGCTGGACCGAGAGCCTGCACTGCCCTGGGTGCCACTGCTACTGCCCAACACCACTGTGGTTGGGGAAGCCTTGCCCAGGGCTGGTTGCCGGGCTGGACCTTGCCACTCTCCTCCTCTGACATGCTATATACCATCCATGAAGCCACCTAGCCGCCTGCCTGATGCTTGCATGCCTCTGCCTCACTGCAGCCTCTCCGCCTCCATTCCAGCTTCATTGGCTGCTCAGACACAGAGGCACTGCCTGCCACTGGGCCTTTGCACATGCTGCTCCTGCCACCTAGAGGGCGCTGTGCTGCTGTCCGGTTCCCTCCCTCTTCCTCTTCGGCCCTCACCAACATGCCCACTACTCAAGGGGCTTTCAGAATGTTTCTCCTGGCAGCAAGGCCCTCCTCTCCAGGTTGTGCTATGGTTGCTGACCGACTGCCTTCTCTCTGCCCCAGCCTGTTCCTGGTGGCATCTCTGAGCTTCAAGGAGTACCTGGCACGTGGTCGGGGCACGTGGCCAGTGATAACGGCTGCATCTGGTAGCTGACCGGTCTGTTCTGGCAGCCAGTGTGTGGCTTTCACCAGAAGGAACCAGCTGTGACTCTGACTGGTCAGTGCCGCTCCCTTGGGTCTGCCAAGAGCAATGCCTGGAGTCTGCTGCAGGTTCTGCTATTACCTTCAGGAAGGGGACGACGAACGGGCGCAGTGGGAAGTTGGTAGCCTCCTGCAGCTTGCAGTGAAACTCCTCGATTGTCAGCGTCGAGTTCTGCAGGAAGAAACCCCCCTTGTGTCAGCATGCCCTATGGAAGGGGCTCTGTGTTAGGCAGACCGGGGGCCTGAGAGCCCAGCATGGCACGGAGGGCAGCTTGAGAGTGAGTCCCCCCTAGTCACTGGGATCAGCCCTCTCAGCCCACGGCATTAACAGAAGGACCCCGCTGCCCCTGCAGACTTACCACCAGGCCCAGCACCAGCGTGCGCACGCGCTCCCCAATTTCGGGGGAGATGTCGCTGCCGAACTGCTGCAGCGTGGTGAGGAAACGCTTCAGCTTACAGAGCTGCCGCGCCCCACAGGCCGGGGGCAGGTGCTGCGTGGACAGGGAGGCCGTGGAAGAGGTGGCTGGGCCATTGCTGAAGCCGTTGGGTGTGGACGGGGCACTGCTGATGGCTGTTGGCGAGTGGCTGCTACCGTTCATCACTGTGGAAGGGAAGGTGGGGTGAGGGCAAGGACAGGACACATGGGGACGTGGCAGCCGTGACCAACATGTCAACAGCGATGGTGGCAGTGACAAGACACAACAATGTTGTTCAGGATGACTGCGCTATGATGTGACAGTGCCAAAATGACGTCAGTGATGACAGTGACGGAGACAGTGACCAGAACAGCCACAATGAACAGCAGTGATGAGACGGGGCAACGGCAATGACGAGGATGATGGTGGGGGGTGGCCCTGGGCCCTCACCCAGTGCCTGAACACGCCGACCATCTGTCCTTGCCACCATGCTATCAGGGGGCATAACCAGCCCTTTACAAATATGGACACTGCACCCAGGAGGGAAATCACACACTGGTAGTGGCTATGGAGTGACCTTTATTTTGGTGGCCTTCTGGCTTGGAACTACCTCTTGGGCCTTTCTCTGGGCCTGGAGGTCAGGCCATGACACCCAGCAGGGGCACCGGGGCCCCCATCACTAGTCCCCAGACCCTCAGCCCCACCAGGCTGCCTCGGACTTCTCTACTTGTTGGGGACTGCTGTCTCACTTTCCCTTTTCTGGGAGTGGGGTATCTTGGGAAGTAAATTGTTCATCTCCCTCAAAAGGCTGGTGACTCTCACCTCTGCCATGGCGGCCGCAAGCAAGCTGCTCACCTGGTGCCCCCAGCCTTGAGCAGTGGCCGAGGGGCTCAGAGTGGGGTAGTGGGGCTGGGACACCCAAGGACACACAGACAAGTGTGCACACAGGCCCCGGCTGGTGTGAGCTGAGGACGCACAGGTGACCCAAGGGACAGCTGATGATCGTGTCACAGGGTCCACCCTGTCAGTCACAGAGATGTGCCTGCCCAGCCCCACCCTCGGGGTCAGCATCTCAGGTCCCTGGCCCACAACTGAGGCTGCTGGAGAAAGTCTTGGGCAGGTCCTCAGCCCTCAGCCTTGGGTGACAAGAGGCCAAGTCTGTACCTATGGCTAAGGCAGCTGTCCCATGTCCTGGCTGCCTATACCCTAAGCCCCAGACTCAGGAACCTGAACTGCAGCTCCCTGTATCTGTAGATAGGTCAGAGGTCACAGGGATCCCAGGACCCTGATCCTAGGCGGCAAAGGCAGGTGACTGGATGTTTGTGGGAGGCCTGTGGCCACTCACACCTCAGTCCTGGCCAGCCGCTTATGCACCCCTCCCGTGTACAGACACGCTCCCTGCATGTTGCTCCTGGAACGAGATCGACACTTCCCTGACTCCCCGTTCCTCTCTCCACCCACGCACGCCTCTTTAGCTCACTCTGCCGTGGCCTGGGCTCTGTCCTGGGGGTCTGCAGGGGCCAGGCTCCCCATCCGTGCTGTTGCCCAGGGCACTCAGAGCCACCTGCTCCCTCTGAGGCTACACCTATCTCCTCACATGTGCAGTTGAGAGAGCCCATTGGGGCCTATGCTGGGGACACTCAGTGAGGTGGCTCCCTCTGCCTGCTCTGCGAGGGGTCTGGGTGCCCAGACCAGGCACTACCCACACATCCTGACTGGGTCCTGGGAGGTGCCTGCTGTTAACTGGCCCCCATAGCTGTGGCTCTCCCTGGGTCCAGTCACTCTTGTCCCTCTTGTAGGCCTGGGAGACCCTCCTTGTGGGTGGGCTCCTGAACTGGCCCCCACCCCCACTGGGCACCCTCCTGCTCCACCCCTGGAGCTACTGCCCCCAACTTCCTCTGGAGCTGTTACAACTCCAGAGATCCAGCACTCACTGGCTAATGCTCCTCCCCATCCAGGGACTGGGCTGGCATGCCCTGCACACAGGGCAGATTGAGCTGTCACCATGTCCCTCTGTGGGGTGGGTGGGGGTCTAGCAGGGTGGCCTGGCCAAGAGATGACCTCCTGTCCACATCAAGCACCCACTGGTGGGGTCTCGGGCCCCGGGTGAGGCGGGACCTGAGCTCAGGGTGTCCGCAGTGGCAAGAATGAAGCAAATATGCCACTTGGGGCCCCCTTGGAGCAGAGCCCTTGGGTAGCCTCCCCCTTGTACCCCAGCCATGGAGTCACCTGCTGCAGGGCGGAGGCTGGAAAGAGGGCAGCTGCATGGTCAGTGTGCACAGCAGCCCTCAGATGCACCAGACACAGCCCTGCCCATGAGGGTCCTGCCACTAAGCCCAGAGGTGCCCTGTGGATTGGGTTCGGGCCTGGCCTCAGTTTCCTTGTTTGCAGGTGGCCCTAACCCACCCTGAGTTCCACAGAGGGCTGCAGGGGCACAGATGGTGTAACTGGTCCTGTTTCTCTGTGCATGTCCCTGGCGTGTCTCCCTTAGCATCTGAGGGGCCCCCAGTGGACATGGTGACTCTGCTTGGCTGTGAGTGCCTCCCACAGAGCAGAACCCAGAACCCACCTGCTGAAGGTGGGGTACACACGAAATATGGGCATACGACCAGCCTCTGGCTCTCCAAGGGATAGACTAGGGACAGACCCCAGGGTTCCCGAGGCTCCTGACCCTTCTTGGCATGGCCGCCCTAGCCACAGATGCATGTGTGAGTGGAGATCTGTTAGCCACCCTGGTCTGGACCGTCCCAGAAGTTCCCTGGGGGCTTGGGACAAACACACTAGCACCGTCAGCCCAACATGGGTGCCATGCTCCTGAGCTCCCCTCAGGCTGAGGTGCAGGGTGGCCCCTGGTCTCTCACCCTCTAGGCTCTGCCCAGGGGACCCGCTATGGCTCTAATTTTCCCTCTTCCTGGCGAGCTCTGGCCAACCCCACAGTGGACACTGACACATATATCTGCTGGAGACTGAAGAGAACCACTTGTCACCCAGCCAGGCCAGGAGGTAGACTGTTGTCATGGGAGACCTCCCAATAGAGGGGGGCTCGCCCCTTGAGGCTAAGCTGGATGGTAACAAGGGGTTTGGATCTGCTAGCAAATTCTAAGACATGCCACTGTCCATGCTGCCTGGTCCCCCACTGCCAGCCCCTGGCTGGCCTGGGCCCGGCCTCCCTGAGGTTCGCTTACCAGCCTTGCCCCAGGCGCCTGGGTCCTCCCGGTGGCCTGTCAACCTCGCCTGCCTGTCTGTACTCCCTCCCGGGCTGCTGGGCAGCCTCAGCAGCTTGCTAAGGAGACGCCGAAAATAACCCCAGCACAAGTGCTTTCATTCCGTGACAGGTGTGTTACTAAGTTAGACTGCACACGTGTCCCAGGCTGAGGTTTGGGGGCACACGCTAGCACCCCTGCGGCTCCTGGCCTCAGGGCCTTGGCAGGGGTCGGGCAGGGATAGGGACCCCCTGCCAAGGGGGCTCCGGGTAGCTCCCTGGACCTGGGACCCAGACCCTTCCCATCCACAGGCCCCCCCAAGAACAGCCACATTCAGAACCATGCACCAGGCACCACAGCACAGCCTCGCACAGCTCATGTAATGGCAGCAGGAAGGGAGCTCCACACTGCACAGCAGGGCATAACTGTCCCATAGTCCACGGTCAGTGCCTAGGGGCTGTGCTGTGGCCACACCTGGGCTGTGCCACCAACTGGCTTGTCCTTGGTGGGCTGGAGCATGGCATGACTGCCCCAGAGCTTCCCTTCGCTGAACAGATGCTGCAGGCCAAGTGCTCTGATGGAAACATCCACTCGTGACTAGTGTCTGCTGGCGCCCCTGTGAGTACCAGGCCTCTTGGTGTTCCCTCTCGGCTGCCTGCCTCACCTCAGCACTAAGTGCTGTGAACACTCCCATTTTACAGGTGGGGAAACTGAGGCACAGGTGGTCAGACTGCCCAAGGTCTCCCCACCAGAGAGGGGAGAAGCTGGGACGCTGTGCCGGCTGGGGTCATCACACCTTCTCAAACTCACTTGCTCTGCTGTGCTGTGGGGAGAGAGCCGCCTGGAGAGGCTATGTACCCGCTGAGGTCCCACACATGGGTCTATGGGCTCAGGGCCCTGCTTTTGGGCTCTCCTGGACCTGCCCCTCTCGGCCCCCTTCTTGTGAAAGAGGTGGGACTTGCGGCAGACGGTGGTGAAGGCCTCCTTGGAGGCTGTGGCTCCTGTAATTTTACTTACAAAGACAGACCATTGACCACTTTAAGCAGCCATGAAGACGGCCGGGGGGCAGCAGCGTCGCAGGCCTGTCCTCTCCATCTGTGAGCAAAATGAGAACACGTCAGGAGGGCGCGGCTCTGTCCTGCAGGGCGTCAGCCGCCCTTCCCTTGGTGCCTTGGCAGTGGCGTTGGGGATGGGACTCGGTCACCACTTTGGACCATTCACTCCCCTGTCTGGGCCTCAGTTTCCTTTTCTGTAAAATATCAAGCTTGGACTGAGTGTTCTGGCAGGACAAGAATCTTAGCATCACTATCACCTCCATAAACAGGTTAGTTTTTTTCTTTCCTTTTCTTCTTAATGGAGACAGGATCTCTGTCACCCAGGCTGAAGTGCAGTGGTGCGATCACAGCTCACTGCAGCCTCGACATCCTGATCCTCATGCTTTGGCCTCCCAAGTAGCTGGGGCTATAGGCGTGTGCCACACACCTATCTAAATTTTTTGAATTTTTTGTAAAGATGAGGTCTTGCTCTTGCTCAGGCTGCTGCTCTCGAACTCCTGAACTCAATCAATCTACCTGCCTTGGCCTCCCACTGTGTTGAGATCACAGATGTGGCCACTGTGCCCAGCCAGCATGGGTTGGTATTTATTTATTAATTTATTTTTTGAGATAGTCTCAAGCTATTGTCCTGGGTAGTGTGCTGTGGCATCACAGCTCACAGCAATTTCAAACTCTTGGGCTTAAGCAATTCTCTTGCCTCAGCCTCCCAAGTAGCTAGGACTACAGGCACCCGCCACAATGCCCGGCTATTTTTTTTGTGTTGCTGTTGCAGTTGTCATTGTTGTTTTAGCTGGCCTGGGCCAGGTTTGAACCCACCAGCCTGGATGTATATGGCCGGTGCCTAACCCACTAAGCTACCGGCGCCCATTGGTTGGTTTTTAAAGGCCTCTTCTCAGGAGGTTCCTGGTGACCCACTTGGCACTATCTTTAAGGGACCTGGGGCCCAAACTGACTGTTTTAAAAGTGACTTGAGATTTAGGGCTTGGAGTTTCTAAAGTGAAGCCCAAGATGGAGTAGGCTTGGAGGAGAGAGAATCAAACAGGAAGAAAGATTTGATTTGTCTGAACTTAAGTTAGTGGCAGAAGCCACAGGGACACAGGTTGTAGCTCTGTAGGTACAGATAGTGAGGCCTCTGTCACAGGGGTAATCAAGGGTGGGATGGCGCCCTCTGAGGGTCCTCCTAGTTCTATCAGAGCCTGGTCTGGGTCCCTGCTCCTTCTGTTCCTTCCTAGAACTCTGCCTTCACCTCTCTGCCGAGCTACACCTGGTTTCAACTCCAAGCTGAATCTGTGCCCAGGCATCACCATGCACAGGAACCGCCACCCTCCAGTTGTGGTTCAAGGTCAGTCTCTTTGTCAGTTGGCTTGGAAGACAATCTCCAGGGAAACTCTGGAGGCTCTCAGCAGGAATCTGCCATGAGTGGCAGGGCCTTCTTGAGGGCAGCCACAGGCAGATGCAAGGCTGCGGTTAACCACCTGGCTTTCCGGGGATCACGTGGATTAGGGAACAAATCTGAGGCCACCTGGGGGGGGGTGACTGGAGTCTCAGGCAGATGCTCCTGCCAAATCGAAGGAACCACAGTGTCAGTTTAGAAAAGAAAAACCTTTGATTGTCTCTTTTATTTATTTATTTTTTGTAGAGACAGAGTTTCACTTAATCGCCCTCAGAGGAGTACTGTGGCATCACACAGCTCACAGCAACCTCCAACTCCTGGGCTTAGGCGATTCTCTTGCCTCAGCCTCCCAAGTAGCTGGGACTACAGGCGCCTTATACAACGCCCAGCTATTTTTTTGCTGTAGTTTGGCTGAGGCTGGGTTTGAACCCACCATGGGGCTGGCGCCTACCCACTGAGCCACAGGCGCTGCCTGATTGTCTCTTTTATAAGCTTTGTGAGCTCTAAATAGAGCTCTGTCCTCCAGCCCAGAAATTGACCCCCAAGGTAGAGTGAGGGCCAAGGGGGCAGGAAGGACCCTGAGCCACGCTGCACATCTGTACTCCAGACTCATGAAAACAAACCCAGACTCTTGGGAACAGGGGGTTGCTGAGGGAAAAAGCAGGGGATTGGAGAGACATTCCCACGAGGCAGAGGCCAGGCCTGGGACCACAGAGACTGGGAAATGCTCTATCTGTCCCTGAGGCTGGCTGTGCTTGGCAGCAGTTGTCCCCCAGCTGTCCTGGGAGCTGCAGCCCTAATGGCCAACACCCTTCTCCCTTAGGCTGAGATGTCCACTACATCCTTCTCTCTCCTATGCAGGCTGGACGTGGACAGACTCTGCCCAGTGGACAGAGACTGCCTGTGGTTTAGCCCAAGGACAGGATTATCCTGGAAAAGAGAGAAGGGTGACCCCAGCCCAGCCACATTGCCGGGTATGTGAGAAAAGCTTAGCTAACGTCTGTGCTAGAGGACCCCCAGCCAGTGTAGGCAGACACAGGACCAGCAAAACCACCAGTGCAGAGTCCTGGCTGTAGGAGGCAGGGCTGGGCCATTCTTGTCTCTCTACACAGTGGGGTCCTGGTTCAGACGGGCTCCTGCAAAGAGCTGGAAACTTTTGACCAAGTGGAAGGTGCAGGCAGGGTGCTAGGCCATTAGGCTCCCACATCCCTGCCTCCGGGCGGCGCACATGGGAGCAGTTTGTTGCACTCCATTTACCAACCAAGTCAGGACTGGCTCAATCCCCTCCCAACATGGAGGCTGGACCAATAGCCAATGCCCTTCTCCAGGAGGAAGGTGGGTCACACCCAAAGCTGTCAGCTGCCATGCCCTGGGGGCAGAACAAAGGTGGCAGCCAGGCCCAGCTCACCCTCCAGGCAGAGCTCAGGGTAGGGGGGCTGAGAAAGCAGCTCTGGGGCCACCAGGATAAAGAATTTCAGGCTTCTCACCCAGAAAGGGGCGTCAACACCTGGGTTTCTGGCTTCAGAATATGAGGGGCACGTGGATTATCTCCATTACCACCAAGAACACTGTCCCCCACACCAGCCCAAACCTAGAGGCTCCCTCTTCCCAACCACTCAGGACCCCAATATCACTAGGTCCCAAACTTCTTTCTTAAAACAAAAGGGGCTTTGATGGTGGCTGCACATGAGAACCAGTTGTAAGCCACTCTAGAGTCCCTGAGCCCACCCTGAGGTGCTGTATGCACTGAGCATGCTGACCACTACCTGTCCAGGCCCTGCCGCACGTCCCCCCTACCTCCAAGGCACAGCCACCTTGCCAGAGCCGACAGCTCAGTGTCCAGCTGGTCCTCACAGCCCTGCTTAGGTCTGGCTGCAACACTTGGGCATCTAAGGTTCTGGGAGGGACCTGCACTCAGGCGACCTGCCGTGTGACCTGGGGAAGTCCCCATCTCTGTCTGAGCCATGGCAAGAAGTAATGTGTCACACAGCCAATTTCCATCCCAGCCTCACACTGTGCTGGCCACGGGGTGGGAGCCTCTGCTGACCTTCTGCACTATTATGAGGCAGGTGCCAGCCCCTGAGAGGGACCCAGGCCTGGAGAGGTCAGAGATAGGCCAGAGCAGGGGGCTGGGACCTGCCTCCCACCATAGCTCAGGCTCTCAGCCATGCCAGGTCTTCCCTCCCAATGCCTCAATGGCAGCTGGCAGGAGTTCAGAGTGTCATAGAGTGGTGCTCACCTCTGCCCTGGGGTGGGGGTACTCACGTGTGTGTGGTGTGAAGGACGGGGGTCGTGTGGCCCCTTGGGATGTGGCAGGTGGTGGTGGCGGCATACTGGGGGGCGTGGCCCGTGGCTGTGTCTTCACTTCTACAGGGGAGTCGGGCATCGCTGCAGCCTTCTTCTTCCTGTCTGCTAGAGGGTACAGAGGGTGATGAGCCCAGGGAAGGCAGAGGATCCCAGCCCGGCCCCCCAGCAGCTGGTTTGGGGCCTGAGTGCTTCAGGCCCAGGTGGGCTGCACAGGTGTCTGCAAGGGGCAGGACCAGACCTGAGGACAGGCTTGGGTCAGCCTGTGTCAGGTGGGAGCTAGAACAGGACCAAGTCCCTCAGGTTGTGACCCCCACCAAGGGAGATCCCAGGCTTAAGCTCCCTGTGGTCCAGGAGACAGCCCCAGACAGTGGGGCCATGCTCACCTCTGCCAGCACCCTGGGGGTGCTCCCAGATAGGGCCACCCCCACCCAATTCCAATACGTTCTCAGGGCTGCTGGTTAGAGAGGCAACTCCACGACCCCAGGGAGGGCATCCACCCAGGTTGGGGGGCCCTGCATGCCACACACCACCCTTCCCCTCCCAGCCTGGGACTTGAGGGTTTTGGGACATTCCTGCTTTTGCCCCTTGGCCTATGTTCCATGGTCAGCACCACCTGGACACCAGAGTGGTCAGTGAGCCCAGGGTGGCTGACTTCACTGAGGTGTGAGGGGTTCTGCTGAGCGTAGGGGGCAGAGTAGGGGGAGACTCTGAGCCTCCCCACAGGGCGGCTGAAAGGCACATCAGGCTGCAGCACTGGAGGGCTCAAAGTATTGTCAGGGCATGCTCTGTGGGGTGGGCATAGCCAAGGGTCCTGGTCTTCTTGAGGGCAGGCCAGCAAGACCTAGGACCTAGATGCTCAGGAGGAGCAAGGTGGCACTACCCAGCCATCATGAGGAGAGGTCGGGGTCCAGCCTGCTTACGCCCTCTGCATCCTCCTCCTCCTCACAGATACAGGGAGGCCAGTCTGGACCAGTGTCTGGGCACTCAATTCCCGCTAGCTGTCACTATTGTGACCATTGTCAGCAGGCCCCGAGACCCTGTGTTGCCTGGGCTGCAGCCTCTCCAGGTGGTGATCAGTGAATAGCTTTTCCCTCACCACACACCAAGCGCCTGCAGACCTGCCGGAGCTCCTCCCCACCTGCCCACTGCATGGGCAGGAGAACCTTGGAGATGCTGCTGACGCCCCAACACTCCAGAACCACGCCACACAGGCGCTCTGACCACCCCTTGTGCCCAGGCCCCTGTGGGTGGGGTGAAGAAACCCCTCCCAGTCCAGTCAGTCAGCAGCAGCCACCCAGGCCGCAGCACCTGTCCCTCAGGGGCAGCCGCTGACAGCCCTTCTGCCAGGCACCCCGCCCTGCCCCTCCACGCGCCTGTCAGAGGCTGATGGCCCAGCACACGTGCGACCACAGCTGTGGGAGCCTGTCAACACCGTGCTAGTGGCCAGTCCGCTGTGACAACTGAAGGGGGCAGACGTGCCCAGCCATCCTCTGGGGCAGGCCCGTCCTGACCAGCCCTTGATTTGACCAGGCCACCCTTGGGCAAGCAATTGGATCAGGCACGTGTGGGAGGGGCAGGAGGGACGAGGACAAGGGCTTTGGAAGCCTGGCTGGCATTGGGGACACAGGCTTGGGGCCCTGGGGACACTGCCTGTTTGGACTTTCCCTTCCATGGAGGCCGCCTCCTCTAAGCCACGAAAATCAAGCAACAGAGGAGTGAAAGGGGAGCTCAGCGGGTGAGCAGGGTGTGGGTGAGGCAGGGGGCCAGTGCTAGACAGGCATGTCTCCTGTGGGCTTGTCCAGTAGTTGCCATGGTGGGGAGACTGCCTGGGAGGCCAGCCAAGGCCAAGGAGCCCTGTCCCATGGAATTGCCATGGCCATCAGTTGGCAAACGCCCAGTGGGCACCACCTGCATGATGGCAAAGTTCTGAACACTAAAGGGACACTAAAGTCAAAACTGGCAGCACTCTGCTGGTGCTGGGTGGCAGAGGGACTTAATGTTACTTCCTTGGGCAGAGAGAAAGCGAGGCAGGTCTGAGGCTGTCCACTTACTGAGGACAGCAAGAGAGCGCTCACTGCCCAGAGGCTGTGACTCCATCCTCACAGAAGCCATCCACCCATTTCCAGGGAGGGCAGACACAGAGAGGGAGGGAATCTGCCTCGGGTCACACGGCAAGCAGGTGGGCATGGAGACCCCCAGCGACTTGCCTGGTGGGCAGGTGGGAGGTCAGAGAAGATGAGGAGGGAGTCTGCACAGCTGGCTCAGTGAAGGGGGGGGGCCAGGACCCCCTGCCAAGACAGCAGAAAATGACCGGGGCCCTCAGAGAAGGGGCTACACAGGCCTTGGCTGCTTGGTCAGCAGGGCAGGGTCAGCAGGGAGCTGCCAAAGGTCCTCCTGCAACTGAGTGGGTCTCCAGAAGGGGTGGCCCTTCTGCAGCTCCCCCCACATACCCCACCAGAGCTCAACTCTCCCACTTGCTCTGCCCCTGTGCTGTCCCTGCCTTCCTGCCAACACCGCAAGGGCATCCAGCTCAGGCCAGAGCTCCCTCTCCTCCTTCCCCTTTGGGGGTCTCAACTCAAACCTCACTTCCCCCATGTGTGACGTTCTGAACATCATCACTCTGCGATTACTTTCCTTCTTGGCTGAGCTATTTGCAGGTCTTTGTACTGGACTGGGAGATCCAGAGGGTGGGACTCAGATCTGGGATGGGTTGGCCAACAGCAGCTGCCTCCTGTCACACCCTGCAGCTTCTCTGATCCTGCTCCTTCACCCAAGGCAGGTGCACAAACTGCCCACCTGGTGGGGTGGGGGTGGATCGAAAGAGAGGCAGAGCAGGGTGCTCAGGGGGAGCCGGGCACCTCCACAATCTCCCGATGATGGTAGTGGCTTATTGGTGGCACCTCATTACTCTGATTCAGCGGTGGCACCCTGGCGCCCTGACTCTGGCGCACAGGAGGTGAGGATGCTCTTCCCAACACCATGGGCTTTTCTTCCAGAGCTCAGAACACCATGAACAAGATGTGGCCCCAGCGTGTCCCTCAGCCCTGTGTCGGCAGCCTAGGACAGGCCACAGGTCTTGCAGCCCTGATGTGCCAGACTGCCCCAGTTTCTCTTTAGCCTGTGAGGTCCAGCTTTGCAAGTGCAGAGAAGCCAGGGCCCACCTTCACATGTGCAAAGTAAAGCATAGATTTGGAGAAGGGACACCCAGTATCCAATCACTTATGCAAGGAGGTCTTTGGGTATCTGCTGGCCCTGGCCACAGCCCTCAGAGGCCCCAAGCAGTGTCTCCCAGCTACTCCCTGGCTCAGACTGCAGTGACCATAGGAGGAATTGTCCTTCACACAAAGGGCTGGGTCAGCCCTCAAGTGCCCTTCCAACACCCTGACCAGATACTGCCCTTCTCCATCTTATGGGTGGAGAAACCAAGGCACCGGCTGCTTAGGCATGGCAGACACACATGGATCTGGGGAGCAAGGATCAGCTATCAGCTCCCTCCTTCTCTCTGGCCATGAGGGCACCTATGGCCATGAGCCCCAAGGGATAGGCACTTGGCTCTGGCCCTCCCTCCATCCCTGCGTCTCCAGCAGCACCGACTGGGCATTTCTACTGGCTGCTCCACCTGGGGCTCGGCAGGTGGCACCCTGATATCAGGCCTCAGGCACGGGTTTCTACTATCCTGATGCCGTCAGAGGCTGTGAGCACGGCTGCTCCAGCCCTACCCCACCTCACCCACTGCCCTTCCAGAAAGTTCCCAGACTGTGGTGGCTGCTCCCCAGGGCCCATGGGAGACCCTGTGTCTTTCCCAGACTGCGTATCCTTCCCAGCTGAATGTCACTAATCCGATGACAGAGGAAACAGCTTTCTAAGCCGGGCAGAGCTGGTGGGAAAGAACACAGAATGTGCCGGAACGAACCACTCCATCCATCACTGTCCCTGTCTGCCTGTGGTTCCCAGCCCACCCTGGCCGGCTGGGAACTGGCTGCATCCCAGTGCTCCCAGCCCAGGGGTTCTAGAAGCCTCCATGGGAGGAGGGCCTGTTGGTGGTGGTGTGGGGGGCATTTGCAAGTCCGTGTCACCTCTGAAGCTTGTTAAGATTCTCTACAGTCTGAATCCTGCTGTGACCTCAGATGACCCTCACAAAAGCCCCAGGACATGTGAAGATGGGCAGGGGACCCAGGGGACACAGTGGATGACCTGTGACATAGGACCTGCCTCAGCACTCCTACCACAGGGCCTCTGCACATGAATGTGGGGATAAAGCCCTACTGTGTGCCAGGCCCTAACCTGACCATTTTGCACAGATCACCTCATTTTGTACCCTCAGAGGTCTACAATATCAGCAGATGAGGAAACTGAGGCAGAGGGCACTTGGCCTCAAACCTGGCACTGGAGTCTATTCTATGGGTCCTGGGATTTGACCACTGGGGACAATGGTCAGGGCATGGCTACAGTGGGGTAGGCTACCCCATTACAGACACAGTCTCACCCTGATCCCCCTGGAGCTGACCCACAGGCTCCAAGTCTCTCCTTGTACCAGCCTGGCTGATCCCTCATGTCCCTACGATGACAGTGAACCTGGTCTCAGAAGCAGCCAGTCCCTGAGCAAAGGCCTCTCCCAGCTGGGAAGCAGGGCCCTGGGGATGATGGGCACAGGCCCTGGACACAATGACCTGGGTGGGCAGCCTCATTTCCCATCTGTAAGCTGAGGGCAAGGAGCATGAAAGGCACACAGGACAGCCACCCACAGCCCTGAGGAGGGCAGGGGCAAGAGCAGTGAGCATAGAAGGTACTCATGGCTGCACTGCATCTGCCCCGTGGGGACGGCACAGACACCTGCTGCCCTGACTGTGCCCACTGCAGCCTCATGTGCCCTCATTGCCCCTGAGAGGTGAGCTCATCTGAGGTCATTGGCCACAGTCACGTAGCAGGTGGGAAAGCATGGCCAGAACAGGGCCAGTGTTTGAATTCCAGCCTCTACCTTTGGCCAGCCAGTGATCCAGTACTAGGGGACTTAGGCCAAGGTGACCCCATCTGCTTGGCTTTTTGAGGAGCTGCAGGGTTAAGCTGGCCTCAGGGCATATTCCCTAAGACCTAGGA